GAGAGACTTTTTGGTCTCAAGTATATGGATTTGGCGTGGACATTATATTCAGAGAAAATTACAAAATTTTGAGTCCCCCAGGTGCCCCTAGTCTGAGTATCACCCATTATCCATGGAGCCAAATCCTGTGTAACGTCTGACATCTCCTGACATGCAAATTTGTGCAAGCCGCACACCAGCCAATCAGAGTCGACTTTGCTAAATCGTGACGTCATTTCATTCCCAAGTCAGGACTAAATGGTTTGATAGGTCAATTCAAATGCAGTGTTTTGTAATACAACAGCAACCGGCTCCATATCGCGTAACATGAAACAGAGCGCACACGTTTTTTTTTTTATCCATTGTCTATTTTACGCGCAACGGGTGAATAACCAAAGGCGTGATATAGAAAACGCCCGCTGGTTGGTCAAAATCTCGGAGGTCAAGAGGCGGGGTCAGTGGCGTCGCCAAGGGGGGGCCAGGGGGGGCACGTGCCCCCCCTGGAAAACCTAGTGCCCCCCCGAGTGCCCCCCCCCATCTGAGATTTGGGTTGGTAAAAAAAAATTCTGCGCGTTGTTAAAATCATTACCTCGAAAATAGCAATTTCTGGAGATATCTTCAGATCGAATTTAGCATCAAATGTGGCACCATTTTGCATCTAGCCCATCCTCCGTATGCGAAAATTTTCCAAAGGGGAGGGGGGCACCCCCTCCCCTTAGACCCCTCCCCCAGGACGGCGATCCGTATCCACCTAAGTGCCCCCCCCCATCAAATGCTGGTGCCCCCCCCCCCTGTGCCCCCCCAGACTGAAAAGTCTGGTGACGCCACTGGGCGGGGTCTTGGCTAATTAATCAGCAAATCTGTTTATACGTAATAGACCATGGCCGTGGTCAATTACATAGACTAAGGTGCCCCCAGGTAGCCGAGGAAGAGTCTTTTAAAAACATTTTGTGTGAATTATTAAAATGAATAGGATTAGACCATAAATACCCGAAATTCCGACAGCACAGCTTTATAAAATGTGAATAAATTAATACGAAAAAGGAGTGCTTGAAGCATCCATAGAGGTCCAGCCCATCCCTCTGCTTTTCAAGTTTGCAGCACTTGTGGCGGCCTAGAAAATGAGGGGAAATGATGTTGGTTTGCCCTTGGTGCTCCCTCATAAAATGCCGGTGTGTCCCCCCCTCCCTGCCACTGAAATAATTCTGATTATGCCACTGTTGCCTTGTCGGCATTGTCGGGCCCGTTCCCTGATCACAGACAGGGGGCAGAGGTGTCTTCACATCTTAATTTTAGCGTACACGTGTGCTACTCTTAAGTAGATTCTGCACAAGATTTGTCATTCTTAAGTTGAAATTCTGCAAACACTGACTCATACACTACCGTTTGGTGTCGGAACGATCGTTGTGCTCAACATTCTAATCAAACACATACAAAATTAATTGCTTAGCGGGCCGCTAATTATTGAACTTTAACTCGTTCTTAAGCACAAACTGCACAGGAATATCCATTCTTAAGTTGTGGATCTTGCATTATAGTCACGTTAATTAGCTTTTAGTGAAAGTTTCACTCTTGTGCTCAAAATTCCAATTAATGGTAAATATTAGCGCTAATTAAGTCATTCTTAAGCATGGAATGCACAGGATTTCTCGTTCTTAAGTTATTGGTCATTGATAAGTTAATCGAATACTATCTTTTGGCGTTTGAACCGTGCTTGTGCACGATAGTCTAATTCAAAATCAATTTGGGGGTCTTGAGGTGGTGCCCCCTCTCAAACGCACGGGGTGTAACACTTAAGAATGACGGTTTTGAAGGTTGGACACCCCCACCTACTCGCTGTTTCCATCAAACCTTTTGTGCACGATATTTTAATTAAACCTCACTGGGCTCTCGGACTATCTCTTGTTGAGTCTTTCACTCATTACATCATTTGAATGCAAGTCCTTTCCAGCATTTGTGTTGCAAACATGTGTCCTAGTTTAATTGTTGACCAAAATACATGTTCACATACTTAAACAGTTACATGTACATGTGAAATCTACAGTACAAAAGTTCACAATCACCTACTATCAAACAAGGTTACAGTGGATGCCATTTCAACTACTGTTTTTTTTCTCCCAAATTACTGACTTGTTAATTAGAGATCTTAATTTTTGTCCCATTGAGCCACAATACTGGGACATGAAGGTGCGTTTATTGAAATCCAATTGAGATAATATTGAGTTGAATCTGAAAAGAAAGAATCAAGTGTAGTACAAACACTCATCTATCACTGTTAAAGTAAGATTTTCCATGAAGAAAAACTTTCATTTCGCAAAATCCTTTTACAGTCAAGGTTTACGACGAAAATCATACTTTTGACCTCGAAACAAGGAAATGGTTGAGCATAAACATTTCCCGTTTGTAGCAGCTAAATTTACATTACTGAACAAATAAAGGGATAGCTTTGGTTAAAACTGAAACAATGTTAAGCAAATATTTTATTCTATCATTGTTTATTCTCCTAATAATAAGCTGTTTCCTTATTATAGTGATTCGACATTCATGTATGGTGAAATCCAACAAAAAAGAACATTAGTAGCTACACTGAGACAATGTTACTTTTTGTTTTGTCCAGCATTAAATGCATCAAAGGTTTGGATGACTCCAACATTTGTTGAATGAATTCAAAATCCCTCCAGAAGTTACAATTTCATTCCCAAATTTACCCCCCCAAAAAGCAGTGGGGAAACTTCCACTATTATTTGTACATGTACTTGCCGTAGTTATTCACTAATGCAAAGAGATTAAGAGTGTAAAATATTATATTTTATAACACCTCACCGACAGATTCTGTGTCTTGATTGGCCGAGAGCGAGTCACATGATACTTTCTATTTTTGCTATCTTTCTGTGCACGGCCAAAAGTACTATACCCGTAGCAACCAAAGTACTATACCATTAGCATCCAAAGTACTATATCTACGGCGAGGTACATTGTATTTGTGTGAAAATGCATGCTGGTGTGCGCGTTGCGCGTATTGTTCCATAGAGAGCGCGCCGCAGAGTTGGGTTCAAACATTTTGTGAAGGGGTAGTCTGGAAGAGAGAAATATATTTCCCACCAATTTTATATTGAAATTGAATTTTATTTCAACTGTGTTCAGAATTATATAATTTAAAATATTAAAACCAAGCAGAATCTGTGGGTGAAATGTTATAAAACAAATATTGAATGCTTTATCTCGTGGTGAAGTAAATCTAGCCTCCCTCTGTTTTCCCTCGGCGAAAAAACAGAAGCAGTCAATATTTGTATAATATCAGAAATTGGAAGAGCGATTGGTTTGAATATATGTACTTCTATAAAGCACATTAGTAGGAGGAGAACTAATGGTAGAAGCAGGGGCATAAATCTGGGGGGGGGGGGAGGGGATAGGGGTATATATCCCCCCCCCCCCCACTTTTTGACCAGGGGGGATTGGCTATTGGATCATCCCCCACTTTTTCGTGGTGAGAAACAAAAAAAATGAAGATTTTTAGGTATTTTTCAAACTTCTCAACAACCAAAATGTGTTCAATAGTACTGAAAAAGGGAGAAAAAGTACAAAAGCTTTAAATACGCCATTTGGTGTAAGGTTAAGCATGTTAAGGGGCGTAAGTATACATAATATGCACACGTCTGTATCATAAACAGCGCCCCCTAATGTCATGTGGCATCCAGCATACCCCACCCCCTTTCTAATATCCACAGCCTGGCAATTTATCTTATTTTCGTCATCCCTCATCCCCCAGTCCCCAGCACAGATTTTACACCACAAGTCACTATGGCCAGTGATTTATTTACAGAGCAATTCCAACAAAAAAAGAAAAAATACAACTTAACCTCAACAATGTTTATTAAGGGAATAAATGTGTGCTCCGGAGGTTTTTATCACTCGTTTAATACCGCTTAGAGTCTGGGTGCTGATAATTACCCGAGCCGGAGGCGAGGGTAATTATCAGCACCCAGACTCTAAGTGGTATTAGAGTGATAAATACCGACCGAGCACATATTTATTCCCATTCATAAATACCTTATCCGTAAAAAAATATCAAATAATTCGTTAAAAAAATCCCGATTTTGTTCAACAAGTTCACTTCATGCTTTTTGAAACATCCCTCTAGCAAAATAATGGAGTGTTCAGCTGGCGAGTAAGATGTAAACAACCCTTTTATGGAGATTGACGCGCGCGTAACATGTTCTGCGCGATGTCACGCAGAACGCACCTGGGGCGTTGCGTTTTGAATTTAGAACTATAAAATTCTGACTCGCTTGTAGTGTTGCGCATGCCTACGTGAGGATTGTGAACGTTCAACCAATGAAACGGTAAGAGGCACTGGATTTTTAGGAGTCCACATTTTATTGTGACACTGGAAAAGTTTTTAAGACCAGCTAGCCATGTCTTTATCATCCGTTTAAGACCGGCCACGTGACGGGCTCTCGACCAATAGGAATGGCTAAACTGTCTGAGGTATTTATGAATATGGTTTTAAAGTCATTTAAATTCACTGGGAATGTCAGCTACATGTATATGTGTTTAAAAATGCAGTCTTGTGTCAGCTGGAGGCCTTTAATATCAGGAAGTTACCATGTTAGCATAGCATCATGGTATACAATGAGTATCCTTTTTCTTTGAAATGGTGATATTTATGTTTGTAGTTCCTTGGACGTGTTTGTGACAGTCGTTGAGAGGACACAGATTGTTTCGCCAGGCATTTGCCATCAAAATAAAACATTGCTAAACTGCCTCCAACAGCCAAAGTGCAGAAATATCTGAGAAAAATTGTCTCATATTGTTTTCCTTTAATGATTAATTACTGGTACTTACATGTATAATGTCAAAATGAAAGTACCATACTCATTCATGTTGTCAGTATTTAATTGGAGTTGGTATTTATACATGCAGAATTTACTTGAAACTCCTTCCTTGAAGCTTCTAAAAATAGAATGAGGAAAAACCTATTTATAATGTTAGTTTTTCTTGCATTGTGTTTTGTTTTGCAGAAAAGTTTGGATATACTGAGAACTATTACGACCTCCCGTTCATGGTGCTTCTAGCTCGTATGATTGACTTACAAGAACAAAAGGTAAAATACGTGGACATCCAAAGTGCATCAAATGTACATGTATGTACATGTATGCAGTTGTATTTGCAGAGTATGAAACTGAGGTTTTACAAAACATGCAGTTACCGGTACCTATTATTTTCTGAACATCGTATATATTTTCCTTGATGACATATTGATGGAAGTGCATGCATGTAAACAGGTTTGACAAAATTGAACTGTTTGTATGTTACTCTTTGTGTTATTACTGCAAGCTTTGTGTGATGTTGCGGCAGATTCAGGGAGTATTTAAAGATCCTAAAGTACTCAAAATAAAAAAAAAAGAACATTTCTGGCTTTTTGAAAAATGCTAGAAAATGGCAAGCTGCGTTGAAATCCTGGAATGAAAGTTTAATATCGGTTAGAAATTCTAAAGTAAGACATTTTGGTTTCGGACGTGCCACATCCTACTCCAGGTCTTGTTGCTTAAAAAAAAAAAAAGTTGCACAATTTGAAAGTAACCCTTTTGATTGAAACTTGTTTCATTTCAAATCCATGTGCTGTATTGAAAATTGACCTCCTTTGTTTGTTTTTGAACGTACAAAATGAAATATTTCGCAAGTGTATGTCCGAAACCAAAAACATGGATGTCTGAAGCCATGAACATTGGTCAGTTTCACCAAAAAGCTTTTTTCTTTGGTTGTTTTCTTCAGTTTGGTCCCTCTTACATGTACAAACAAACTGCATCACTTTCTATCAGTGGCCCAAGAGCTATTTTGATAGGACCACAAAAAGGAAAAGTTTTTTTGGACCAATTACGCTTATGGAGAATGGAATCACTACATTTTTTCAGGAATTACACCAAGGATGCTTAAAAAACAAGTGTTTGACAGCATAAATACATGAGGAATTGCAAGCCCCCAAATTAAGTCTCTGAAATGTATGTTTGTATTTCTGGAATTGCCCCTGTACATCCCCTTGGACCCTTCAAAACTCTAAAAAGAACTGGATACCTACAAAAAGTTTTAAACAGTTAATGAAACCTCCACAATAAAATGTGTGTACTAGTTTTAATTATGAAACAGGACAGTCAAATAAGATTGTTAAAATGAGCTAAAACTTTATGTACACATGTACGAGGCACAATTAAAGTACAATTGATGCTTTAGTCTCAATTTACTTCAGGTATGATGAGACCACTGCACAGAAACACAAATGTCCTCCCAAACCATGCACACACTGCAAAGTCCAAGTACATGTAACATGGTCCGATGCAAGAACACCAAACTTAAACTTTTGTCAGAGGTTTGTTAACACTTACATGTATGTAACCTCCAAAACGTATAGCAGTTGTTAACAGTAACCTCCAAAACACTGAATTAGAAAAATTCCAACTCTTGGACGATTCATGGAATTGTCATGTTACCTTCACAGGTATGTGGGCGCTACTGGACACTGTCTGTACAGGGCACTAGACTTGGCCACTGTCATAGGAAAGTGTTTTAAATTTAAAAGTTGTCTGACAAATCTTGATTTTTTACTCTAAAATGTGATTCAGTATTATTTCTTTAAAAATTAACTTCAGTTTTGGGATTTCTGGTTTTTAGTTTGAAACTTAATGCTTTACAATAAAACATGCCTTAACCTACAGAAGGATTGGTGTTCTTTTTTACACAACATCATTTTGGTCTTACAGATTTACTAAATGTTGAAAATGTGTAGGAAAAATAAATTAGTTTTTCCTATGAATGGGGAAGTTTTTTATGATACATACCGGTACATCTAAGTTTCAATTACATGTATGAGTGTGTTATTCCCCCTATGTACCGGTATAATGTAACAGTGACATTCTAATATAGGTTTTCCCGCTCAAGTTTGTCAAAAAATTCATTTTTGAAAGTACATAGTCAAGCGATTTTGATCGTAGTGCCTATTCTTTGATTACTGTTCATGTTTAATACGTTCAATTTCATTTATAGACATTCAAATCTTCTTGCCAACACATCCAAATAAGAAAATGCGTTGTTCAATTAAATAGTTTCTAATCGTCATTCAATGTGGCATACTTGATTTAATGAGGTTATGACCTTCGATTCTTTTCATTCTGTTTATGTGCAATAAATTTAGCACTTTTTGCGCATTAAGAATAATTACATGCAAATCAAATAAATGGGTATCAAAAGTAAGCAAAAGTTACAATGAAATCAAAGGCTTACATTAGGATAGCTGCACTTTTCATCTTTTTTACCTTTTTTTAAATTTTCACTTTAGCTTGTCATTTTTTTTTTTCAGCATCTATTCTTTTATCATTGCTCTATATTTCTTCTGACCTATATCAACTTTTAAAATACTTTCAAATAAGAAACATTTTTTTATCTATATTTTAATTATGTGCACATATCTTCTTTGAATTATAGATATATAGTTCTTGCAATTTTCTGCGATTGTTCTCCAAAAATGGTGCTAGTGGTGTATTTGAATTCCATTTTCTAAATTATTATTATTATTATTATTAATCATTTCTGGTAATGAAACCAAGGATTCCTCAAAAGGGCTCTAGGCACTGTAGCAGGCAAGCCTGAAGAAATTGTGGAGATAAGACAATGAGAAGAAGTTGCAGTTTTAGAGGTGGGAGGAAAAGCCCAGAACGATATTCTGGGATAAACCCACAGAATCAGGTAGGGACTGAAAACCCAATCCACATGTTGGCCCAGGCGGGATTCAAACCCGGGTCACAGCGGTGGAAGGCGAGGAAAGTACCGCTACGCCAACCTGACTCCCCTTGTTGAAAATGCTTGCCCATTGATGGATTCATTAGACCACATGTTCTTGCCTCAAAGCTTGGGCGAATGTGCATGATCTTCGCTGATAATTTCAGTTTGAATGACCGCACTTTTATATTTGATTACTGAATTTTCCAGATCGCATGCTAAAAAACTGAATTGAATGTTCTTTTTATAGTAAACTCAAACACGAATTGAATGTTCTTTTTAGTTAATTAGTAAATTCAGACATGAAGTATACAACTAAGTCCAAAACTCACACGTTTTTATGTGCATACATGTATGCTGCTGTTATAAATTTGTTTGTAAACTTTGTGTTATTTTCAGAATGAAGGCTTGATTAAGCCTGAGATCTTCAAGGATTGTGTTGAAGGCTATGTCAAAGGATTTCTGTATGAAGGTACTCTAAATGATAGTACATGTACAATTGTAGTCAATTCCATAATGCTATATACATGTAAATAAGCCTGTGACATCAGATAATTGAGTGATCTTTTAAGCACCACTTCATGATGTTTTGACAAATCACATCTGTGACTGCGCAACCAAATGTGCAACCCTATCTGACAAAATGCGTGCTCTTATGCATTGCGCGTATGGTTGGAACATGTAGTGGCATGAGATGCATTCACCCACATGTGAAGTCTTCTGGGCTTGTTGTCAAGTGCGGAACTTTCCATTCTCAAAACAGTTTCATTATGCAGGTATGTACACATGTGTATAATGACTAATTAACAAAGGCCCATATGGGACTTTCACATGAACACTGGTTTTGAAAACATGAAACGGGAAACCAAATTAAAAAAGGAACACCAGGAACAAAAATATGCTTGCTTGCTTTAAAGTTTGAGTGCATCATCAGGGGTGTGAGTGGAGCTTAAAAAAAAATAGCTGAAAACAGCTGAACCTGTAAATAGCCAACCTGCAAGCGCGAAGCGCAAAGCCCTTACGGCCCGGGTCTCTTAGGCGGGCCCCAGGAAACTTTTGAAATGTAGATGCTCTGTGGTGCATTTTACAGCCTCCTGGGCCAACTACTGGGTGAGTAAAAAAAAAGAAACCCAAATGTTGGGACCATTGTTTAAGTGAAGGTCTTTCAGCAAAACGAAAACAAATCACATAGGGATGTGTGTGAATTGTTTTCGTTTTGCTGAAAGAACGCACACTTTTTTGTGTTCTTTAAAATGGTGGTTGTGTTTAAAATTCCGTAACTTGAAAAGTACATGAGTGATTTGAATGATTTTTGTACTAAAAGAAAGCTTTTGAATTGGGCTTTCATGTCCTAGATTGTGAAAGTGCTACATGCAGAACGTCAATAAATCAATGGTCCCGACATTTGGGTTTCTTTTTTTTTAACCTCCCTGTATTGGTGGAAATGTTTTGCAATTTATGCATGTTTTTAAGTTAACTTTTCCATCATATTGGCTTGAAACTGCCTAAATGGCCAACTTGTATGTGAAAACTGTGTTGAAATTGAGGTTTGTAGTGCGAGTCTACCAAAGCCCCACCCCGCAAAAATAAAATTCCTATAAAGTTTACATCTAGCTCTTACTTTAGAAAAGAATGCACATCAGACGTCCAGGCTTTTGGATTTTTCTGAGTGTTTTGCCTTATTTCTGCCCATGATTGATGAACGGTGTGTTCCATCCAAATACATTTCCATGGATTTGTAACTTGAGGATCGGTCTTGTCAATGTCGGTATCAAACTCCCAACCTCTTTGGACAATTATGCATTTGTGTTGCACTGACATCTTGCGGAATTAATAATGTTAATGAAAATATGTACCAAACGACACACTATTAAACATATGTTCATGTACGTGCAGCGGAATGCAGATGCAGTGCACACATGAACTTTGCCCCGCATGAAGCCCTCTGTCGGCGCGGCGACACTATATGAGTCTTATTTCGAGGCCTTATTTGCAATAAGACGTGTGCAAAGTGATCTTTTCGATGTTTACAGCGAGTTATTGTGGAGATCATTGTGTGTCACTACCACAATAGTCCCAACACGCTTCTTGGCGCATGTGTGAATGTTCATATTTATCTGCAGCCAATCACAGCGCAATGACTGTTGGTTCCCCGGATGCTGTTGTACACACGCAACGCGGCTTCGACCTGTAAAATGCATGCACATCCGATCGTATACGGCACATTTACAGTAAACGTACATGAATGATTGAATACTCGCTTGCATGCACCACAGAGCTATGTGAAGAGCGGATCGACTGTTTTTCGCGTGCGTTCGGCAGCCGCAGAAAATAAAATAAACGGAATAAAATCAATGCTTGTACGCGCTGGGGAAAAAGCGGGGGAAATTCTGGACCATAGGTTGAAAAAAAAAAGCGGAAAACAAAATGTGGCACGCTGAACAAAAAAGCGGAAATCCGCTAAAAAGGGGAGATTTTACACCCCTGCATAATATACCAATAATTTTGTAGCAGATATCCATTTAAGTTAGTTTGAATATAATTAAAAATTTAACTTGGTGCCTGGTACTCAATGATGATAATAATATACATGTAGATGATCATCATTATCTTCTTTTTCATGTTTGTGCTCATGTTACACATGTATTTCCTTCTTTTTAAAACATTAAAATTTGCCTCAAATATTTCAAATCACCAGCAGATATGTGGGAAATAATTGCTACTTCAATGACATGCATGCATTAAAAAAATGCCACTGCCCTTTAATAAATGAAGACAAGATTGTTAAAAACAAAAAGAATGTAAACAGGGTGCAATAATGTAAATTGTAAATCGAAAGTTATGCGCTTTGCCAATAGATCAGAGTTATTACAGGCATGAGATTTTGTCAGACTTTTGTCTGAATTCAGACTTTTTGAGTTTTGGAGAAAGATATTATCAGTATACATGTAGAAAGAAATGCATCTTTCAGACCTTGAACTCTAACAGAAATCAACCCACCAAACCCCAACAACATGTTTTGTTGGAATCTGTCAGGATGGGTACAGTACCCCTAAACTGACAGTCTTTTACATTGCGTTGGCACACCGCCATAATCAAAGTCAGAAATACATGTATGTGTGGTTAATTATGGTTAATTAATACAATTTTCAGACTTTTTTAAAAAGTTGACAATTTCATCCCTGTTCTTATCAAATAGTGTCTCTGCATGGTAATAAACATAGCAGACCATTGAAACCAGCGCCCAATTTCATGGCTCTGCTTTACCATTTGCAAAAATCCCTGCTTTATACTGTAGCAGAAAATGCCCTGCTTGCGGTAAGCGTATTTCACGCCAGGGGCGACAATCGCTTCTCAAAAAGGGGGGGGGGGGGGACATACCTTGATCAGAACTGATGCGACCGCGAAGCCCTTACGGTGTGGGGTTCAGGGCCCGCTTAAGGGCCCCGAAAAAAATTGGATTTTAGATGCTCTGTGGTGTGACCTGAAGCAATTTCTTACAACTTTTCTCCATGCTTTAACTAATATTTTCGTAGCAAAAGATATCTATTTGAACATCGTTTTTAGAGATTGGAGTCATTCAATTGGCTACCAGAATTCTGAGCTACAGGCGTGGGGTTCGGGGCCCACTTAAGGGCCCCCCCAAAAAATTTGGATTCTAAATGCTCTGTGGTGCTATCTGAGGCAATTTCTGACCACTTTAACCAATATTTTTTCAGCAAAAGATACATTGTAGTACATAATAGGGCCCTGTAAATGGGACACGAGTTCAAAAATCCGGGGGGGGGGGGGGGGGGGGGGAACATTTGATATTGTGGGGGGGGGGGGGGGGGGGAGAGGGGGGGGGGGAGAGGGGGACATGTCCCCCTGTCCCCCCCAGGATTGACGCCCATGTTTCATGCGTTAGTGAGGAATTTTGGCTTCTGCGCATGTGTACATCCCGTAACTAAGGATTCTGTGCTTACCGGGTTGGCACAGAATTTTTCTGCTAACACGGTTAGCACAAAATGGTCAGCATAAGCGCAGAATTCTTTGGACAGCATGAAATTAGGCCCAGGATCAATTCCAAAATACATCAATTAAGTTTTGAGTGGTTGGTTTTACATTGTAAGTGAAGAAATACAACTTGCAATTACAATAATGCTCTGAAGCTCAATTGAAGTCATGAGTTTGAAGTTTGCATATATAGCCCTGTCGTCACTTAACTAACAAAAACTTTTTATTTACTTTTATTTGTATTGTGTCTTGCCAGAGAAAAAAAACACCATTTTGTCAGCATGTGAAGAGGAGCCTAGCAAGTATCTAGAACAATGTAGTCAGCACTTGAAGACTTGGCTGAGAAGTCTACATGATAAGTGTCAGATGGTCTTCCTTCTTAGCAGTGCCCATCCACACTTTGCTAATTCTGCCATGAATTACATTCTGGGGTGAGCTAATCAGAATACCTTGACATACATGTAAACTGTCTCCAGCATGTACGTATGTATATTATAATACGCAACATGAATCTGTTCATTTCGTATAGTAGTGAGTAAAGTCAGAAACTTGAGTCATCTTAGAGTCACTGAGTTCTTAGATATAGTTGCTTGATGTTCATGACATTTTTTGATATTTGGTTGATGTTTGTCACTTTCTGGGATATTTTGGTTGATGTTTGTGACATTTTTGGATATATGGTTGATATTAGTGACTTTTTTTGATATTTGGTTGATGTTTGTGACATTTTTGGATATATATGGTTGATGTTTGTGACACTTTTGGATATTTGGTTGATGTTTGTGACATTTTTGGATATATGGTTGATGTTTACGACATTTTTGGATATATGGTTGATATTAGTGACTTTTTTGGATATTTGGTTGATGTTTGTGACATTTTTGGATATATATGGTTGATGTTTGTGACTTTTTTGGATATTTGGTTCATGTTTGTGACATTTTTGGATATATATATGGTTGATGTTTGTGACATTTTTGGATATATGGTTGATGTTAGTGACTTTTTTGGATATTTGGTTGATGTTTGTGACATTTTTGGATATTTGGTTGATGTCAGTGACTTTTTTGGATATATGGTTAATGTTAGTGACTTTTTTTGATATTTGGTTGATATTTGTGACTTGTCTTGATATTTGGTTGATGGTTTTGACATTTTTGGATATTTGGTTGATGTTTGTGACATTTTTGGATATTTGGTTGATGTTTGTGACATTTTTGTTTTCACAGAGAGGATTGGCGAAACTATTTCCACATCTGTCTGCTGCAGGCACGTAAGCCTGGATTCTTCAGTACACAGGATCCTAGCAAGCGACCGTTCTATACTTTAGGTAAGATTAATGTTATTGATACATTGTTTGTATGATCGCCAGGCCCTTGCTGCATGTATATATATTTGATAGTTAATAAGACTATTTGTTGTATTAAATTAAGCATTTTATATTTCACTGAATGATTCTTGTACCGGTACATGTATGTATGTTTGTTGACAGAATTGGATAGTCCCATGATTGAGGAGTTTCGACTAGATGTTGCCACATGATCGCAAAAAAAAAGGGATACTTTTTTCCTATTTCTTTTAACACAAATTTCTCCACCATATGCCCTTGTTCATACCGAAATATACTTTATGTTCTAAAAAGGTCTTTACACAGGCAGATGAGCATTTTAAGAATGTGACACAATTTGGAAGTACGTAGCACGTAATACTTTTCAATGGCAATCAGTCATTTTAAAAGGCTACTAAGTTGCACTCCTAATTAATGTACCAATCATTGCCAGCTAATGCATATCTAGCATAGTCTTTATCGTCCATGCAATTCCCTGCTGCAACTGTTATTATAGAAGCTCATTCTACAGCCATTTCATTTGTGAGCTTGTCTGTTACTATTGATTGACTGTTTAGTTGATGGTCAGAAACAGGAAGCTGTGACTGAGCTGCAGGACGGCCAGTGCTATCTAGAAGGCAATGTCCAGCTATTCAATCAGTACATCCAAACATTTACCGGCAAGGAGGACCCTAAGGTATGTATTCATCAGCCGCAACTTTTTTTCAAAAGTTAAAATAACTGTGCACCCAAATGAAATCAATTGGTCCTTTAGCAAAGTGATTGATCTGTTACAGAAAATGACTCATCTCTGTTCACCTACATTTGCATATATATATATATCAAAAGTCCCCCCTGAAAAAAGTCTCCTAAGCCACACCCTCCATGCCCATTGCATGTCCCTCAAAAGGCTCTTTCTCGTATTTTTCAGTGAAGCATAGAGTGTACATCATGTTTTATACAAAGCTAAAGGTCAGTCAACAGAGCAATGCCAGAAATTGAAACAATTCAATTCTTGCAGTACCGTTATAAGAAATGTGGAGCTGAACACCCACAGTTCGATATAACAAGCACTCCAAGGGTGATTATTTGGCAGAGACAACTGGGTCTAGTCTCTCACGTCAGCGGTGTGTTTCAGGAGCAAACCTCAGTGTTACTTCCTGTGAAATCCTGCATATACATGTATCTTGGGTAGTCTGAGTCTGCAGATCAACTTGCTTAGATGTGCAAGAAATCCTGCATACTAGGTCTGGGCAACTAGTGAATTTCAATAGTCGCGACTAGTTGCGATAAATAGTCACGACTAGTCGACTAGTCGCGACTAGTAACACATTATTTATTTTATTTGCAGTCTTCAGTTTAAAAAAAAATGCTTTCCTTGAGGGCCCTGTAAAAAATTTAAACAATTAAAGTAATTATAAGATGGAATTTTTGCGCCGGGGTGATATAAATCATATAAATCAAATTAGGTTTTGCCCTTCACCGAACGTTTTAAACACTGTATACTCAGTGTGTATACAGTGTATATATCACCCCGGCGCAAAAATTCTTATAATAGTTTATGCGGTACCCGCTGCTATGTACATCAGATTCGAACCGGCCAACCGATCCCGTTAGCTCGGTGGTCGAGTGGTAAGACATCTGCACTAGAAAGCAGGAGGTCGTGGGTTCGAGTCCCACCCGAGTGATTTTTTTCCAACTTTCACTCGGGAGGTAACACACTGAGTATACAGTGTTTAAAACATCGGTGAAGGGCAAAAACCTAATTTGAATTAAAGTAATATTAAAAAAAAATACAGAATATTAACATAAATTAATGTGAATTGTTTAAGCAAATACATAAAGCAGCAAAAAGCAATAAAAAAAATTAATAACATATATGCAGTAGAAAATTAAACAAAATCAAACAAAATATTATGACAACATGAACATTACTTACATGTACAATTATATCAAAATAGTAGAGCAGCAAATAAATGAAACAACATAACATTAGTAAGAGAGATGCAATCACATAACAGTGTAAAGTAGACCATAATATGACCAATATAAAACACATCCACTTTAAAACCAAAAAAATACAATGACCAATATAAAATGCATTGGAAACCAAATAAGTAAAATGTCCCACAATTCAAAGAAGTGAAGTAAAAACAAATGAAATGGGATGTCATTAAAATAAAACAATTAGGCACATCAGCAAATAAATGAAATAACATGACATAAGCAAGAGAGACGCAAACACATAACAGTGTAAAGTAGACCATAATATGACCAATGTAAAACATCCACTTTAACCCCCCCCCAAAAAAAATAAAATGATCAATATAAAACACATCCACTGGAAACCAAATAAATAAAATGTCCCACAATTGAAAGAAGTAAAGTAAAAAACAAAAAAAAACGGGATGTCATTAAAATAAAACAATTAGGCATATCACAAGAAGTTGATCAGATAAGGTGCAAATTTAAAGTAAATGATAAAACAAGTCTTAAAATATTACATAAAACACAGTAATTAATTGCACAGATGTTTAAACTGAGACAAAGTATATGCCTTCCTTTGAGAAGCAGTTAGCTGGTTCCATCCCAGGGTCTCAAGATATTGAAAAGAATGCTTGGCCGGGTAAGTTGTGGGAACAACAGACATGTGCAGGGAACCATTTGACATAGAGCGGGTACCAGCTGAATGACATGGCTGTATAAACAGGCTATTCAGGTAACTTGGGTTTAAGGTTATTTACACATTTAAAAACTTCATACATTCTGTTATGGTGCCAGCGATTATTTAATGTGGTCCACGAGAGAGCATCGTGTAGATCGGCAATGTGTGTTCTGGGATGTGTGCTCAGAATCATTTTGGCAAGGCGATTGTGGAGCTTACTCAGCCTGTCAAAAAGGGAATTTGAGCAGCTAGACCAAACAACATCACAATAATCAAATAGAGGCAAGACCATGGCACTACTTAAAAGTTTAAATGTGAGTTGAGGAAGGCAAGGCTTGGCAGAACGTCTGAGAGAACCAAGTATTTTGGAGATCTTGGCTGTGTGGTCAATATGGTTAGCCCATGGTAGGTGTTCGTCCAGAATAACACCAAGATATGGTACTTGTACACCTTAATGTGCTCAATTACATCACCTTTCAGTGAGATCTGAACATTATTAAAGTTAGGCAATCGAGGACACGTTCCAAATACCATGAACTTAGTTTTGTCAACATCCAGCCTAAGCTTATTTTCCATGAACCAATTAGTTACCTGATAGAGACCAGTAAGCATATCTTTATTTAAATCATCAGGCGAAGTTCCACTAAACTAAAAAGTGTATCAATTGAACTTTCTGATGTGATTAAGCACTAACCCGCTTTTAATGCTTTGTATATTAAACAAAGTTAAAGATCTACTTCATTCTTTAAAAAATAAAAGCAAAAAGTGAATGTCGGATTGCTTGAATAGAAGGTTCCATTTTTAACTTTTGCTTGGTTTAAAACGTTTGGAAAATTTGTGGCAGATAATAATTTTGTGAATGTGAAATGATTAAACTTGTCAATGTCACATCCAATAGCTAGAACCAAGTACATTGTAGCCTATCTAGGAGGGAATCACAAGTGATTGTACATCCTACTGACCATCAAGGTTAGAATCTGCAGCCCTTGAAGCACACAGATCATCAACAGCTTGGGCTCATGTACATGCAGTAGCTTGTGGCCTGCTGTAAAGACGTGTTGCAGTCAGAAGGCCTCATTGGTAGAGAAATCCTTAGAGGAAACTGCATTATTAGTAGCACGCTAAGCCTGTTAAGTTCCTTCAGAGTGACTATGTATGTACATGTACATGTAGCTCCTGGATATGTACATACAGTGTTGAACATACATTTTGGTCAATTCAACTGTGTGTATAATTGTAGTTATAATCATAGATTATAATCTGACAAACCATATCAGTTTAACTGTTATGGTTTGTCAGAATTCAAATCCACTACATGTATAGTGACTGCAATGATTTAATAAATGATTATTCATCCAACTCTTTTGCTGTAGTAGAAATAGGCTCAAAACATGGTAGTGTTGGACGTACTCAGACAACTTGATTTTTTATGCACCCATTAATTAACTTTTTCAGTTGCAAGTAACAGCTGAACTGTTGAATATTGTTAAAAATAACTATATTTCAGTAAAATACAGGTAAGAATTAAACTATATTTCAACTGTCTAACCACTCACACCCTGCCTTTGTTTTTTGTTCTGTGACCAGTGTGTAGTACATGTTCTGTGGAATATTTTAGCAGAAGCCATTTTCGCTTGGGTTCTGATCTAAATGACAATGTTCATGATATTTTGTTGGCATTGCAGGTGCTTTATATTGGAGATAGTATCCGTTCTGATATCCACCCCAGCAGTGTTTATAGTAACTGGCAGAGTGTGTTGGTGCTTGAAGAGATGGAAGTAGAGGAACTTATTCCTAATGGAACCTGCACATTAAATGGCAATGATGAAGAAACCACAGACAAGGCAAACATTAGATCAGTAAGTCGTTTACAATACCACCTGACCATGCTTTGCATGACTATTACATGTACATTGCTGCTGTTGGCAATGATGCTCCCCCTCAGCAGCTACATTGAATTAATACAGAAATAGTGTGAATAAATTTTGCATGACATGTTATTGTATGTTAAGTAAGAGAAGACCATCTTCATGAGGTGCTACTTGCAGATTCATCGAATGGTTTATGGGGGAAATGACTAAGATATCCAAGCTTTAGTGTTTAAATCAAAGGGCTTTCTGACCACCCAACATCAATATTAACACCAATTTTTCAAATGTAATTTAATAAAACCAAATATAAAAAAGGTCTCAGCAAGTTGATCTCAGTAGCTTGAAAAGTCTAATGTGCAACTGAATTAGCACAAATTTGAACTTGGCCAGTAAATAACTGACAATGACTGAAATTGACTTCTTTCCTTTTATATAAAACGTAATGAAAGTGTTACACACTCAGCATGCATGCATTGTGCAGTGCATACTAAATACATTCACCGTGACATACATTGGGCACATTACTAAAATATTAGTTTTGGTCAAAGATGTTATTGATAAAAGACTACTGCAGCATGGCCAATTTTCACAGTATGCGATAAATTGTTTCCTTAAATTTTCTTGCACAAAAAAACCCAACTTTTCTGGTGGGAGAGCCAGTAGGCCTTCGTACGTAAAATAAGCGGGATCTTGTTGCAGATTTTGGACTGTCTATGTGATTTCGTCAAAAGTGCAGAAGCTACCAAATAAAAATGCAGTGAGCCATATGTACCTTTACAGCAACCACATCAAATAACCCTTTAATTGACATTATAAAAATAACTTTTGACAGCATCACAGTCGTTTAGTGTTGCATGGATTTGTACTTTATGTTAGTGTTTTGTCTCCTGACCATTCAATCCAGGGTCCCTCTCAGCTAGAGAGAGAGTTTCTCCTGTCTGACCAGTGGGGATCATTCTTTGGAGATACCTTGCCAGTCCAACAGTCCAAGACGGTAACAAATGGATGCAACATTGCTGAAGCTAACCATTCCCCTGTGATGGTCAATACACTCTGGACACGATTGATGAGGAAGCATGCTAGCATAGCCATACCCAAGCTAGATTACATGGCTGGTAAGTGGCAGTCCTTTCAAACATCATCAATGGTTTCAAGAAGAGATGGGCGTGTCAATTTGGAAGAAAAACAGGTTTCGAGATAATTGTGAGAAGTTCTCTTATTTTACAATTGCAAAATATACCACAATGCATCTACTTAGACAGCAGTAATAATCATTGAAACTATGGTTAATTAGCAAAAATTACGAGCAAAGGTGCCTGTCTTTTCATGGAGACAAAAATGTCAGTGGACGTACTGTTACAATTTTCTGTGCAATGTGTGTTGCCATAGGGAGAGAAATGCTTATATCACATGTTTAGGTGTATGCATCTGAAATGTATAAACAAAGTCCGCCCCTTCATGAAAATGGAAATCTCACTTATTCTACTTTTACGCCCTTTTGTTCAATACATTGTGTGCACATTTTGTTAGCATCTCTTTGTGAAAAATGCAATTTTGGAGATGTCAGCTTCTTACAACATGAATGTTATTAAGACATTACACAAATTTTGCTGTAGAAGCAAGTCAGACTGGTTGAGTTCATTGTTTTAAAGCAAAAAAAGCGAAAACAAGAAGTCATTTTTGAAATGTCTGTCCCTTCATAAAAAACAGTGACAATATGAAGTCATAGTTGGGGAGTTTCCATCCTTTGATACAGAAAGCCTTACCTACTTCAGGTTCATTGGTCCAAAACAATCAAATGTGAGCAGTAGGTTCTATTGTTGAGGAAATCACATTTCTATATTTCCCCACTCTATTTTCAAAACAAAGTCAGACTTTGGAGTTTCATAATTTAATGGGACCACAATAATGGACATTCACAACTTAGATTTTTTTTTTCCTTTTTTTTTCTGTACTTCCAGATTTCCCCACATACTTCAAGTTTGAAACATTTGCAAGCAGTGACTGGAGGAAAGGTTTCCACCCCGGAATGCCCAAGAATGTCACATGTTAAGGTGCAATTGATAGACTTCAAACAGCACAGCAGCTTTATAACTTGGTTTTGGGTTCATATATGTATTAGTCTTACAGTACTTTGAGTATGTTCATTCCTTTTTTGCTTTTACATTTATTTGCACTATTTCCTGTCAGCTTAAATGTATTTTCTTATTGAATACTTAAAAAGCTCTTCGCCATAACTTTTTGTCAGAGATGATATTAAAAAGAAGACCTTAAAAAAATTGAACAGTTTTGATTTTATATTTAGTTATTTTTAAGAATTTAGAGTTGCAATACTGTTGAATGCATATCTTGTAGAATCATAGAAATATGCCTAGCTCATGATATTGATATTGGTACCCACTGCTATATCAGAAATGAACCGGCCAGCAAGCTGAGCTCAGTGGTTGAGTGTAAGAGTGGTACATGTAAGTGGAGTGCTGTGGCCTCGTGGCCTGGGACGCTGAACTAGTGGTCTGCGGGTAATTCTGCAGGTTGTGGGTTCGAGTCCAGCCTGGGGCTATGGTGCATGTGTCCTTGGGCAAGGTTCTTTGTCACTCATTGCTTCTCCCCACCCAGGAGTAAATGGGTACCTGTGAGGGCAGAGATGGTTATTGTGATTGATAGCTGCCTTGCGCCGAAATGGCAGCATCGAGCCGTATACTCCCTATGGAGCTGAGATTGTATTTGGAATGTTTCATTGGCCCAATGATCAGGGGTAGTAATAATGGACAGCGCTTTGATCTTAGATAAAAGCGCTATATAAGAACCTGTTATCAGCCCAACACCTATTGTTATTGTATGATTTTACTTTCTGGTAATGACGTCATCAAGTATCGTATGACAAGAATCCAAATTTTTCTAGATTTACTCTTTGAAAGTCAATATAAAATCAACTTTTACACATCTGTTTTTGTTTTTTATGGCAATCGATACAATATTGCAGGGTCTTCATTTTTGGTATTAAGTACAAAATCACATGACCCTTCCTTCCGGTCTACGCCGGAAGTGCCTTATAATTTGAAATTGGCAAAAGATGTGAACATGCTTTCACCGATGTGAGTCTTTGCCTAGGCTGTACTAGGGTGATGTCATAAAATGTTAGCGCGCCCTCTAGTGGCATGTTGACAAAGTCAAACATGCATTTTGAGTTGATGTGTGGGGCACAGTTAATTGCCTTTGTTGATGCGCATAGGGATGCAACTTTCAGTTACTCAGATATCATCAAGAGCATTGATATATATCACAACAGAGCTTGACATTGCGCAGCATGTCAGATGTGTTGGGCAGACCCGGTCCAACGAGAGTTAGTAGAGACTTTTGTATTGATGTCATTCTTGCAGAATAAGTCGCATCACATCCATTTATCTTGTTGGATTTTTGGAAAGATATAACAAAACAGCTGCTTATTGCTGTGAGCCTGCGATACCTTCAAGGAGACATGACACTGTTGGCTTTGCCTCATGTACCATGTGACCCTCCGGTACAAAAATGCCATGTTTCACATCACAGTGAGTCAACAAATGTTCAATATAAAGATCTGTTGATGGCACAGAATTTATATGTTGATAGATGGTTTATATATTAAATGTTTTTATGTGACCTAAATTACAAATATATTAAGGTGCTTATGTTATGCATTTTAAGATTAAAAAACAATAGCAGCTGTCCACAGGCATTTGATGATAGATTTTTATGTCAGTTTAATTGTTCATCATATATGATTAAATACATGTCAGCTAGATAAATCGGATGCAGGCTCTGATTTTAATACATCACAACCGTGAGTTTCTTTTACAACACTTCTAGTTTCTTTAATGGCATTGAAGAATCACTTTTTCTCCTGATGTTGTGAACCCCTTATACTTTATTTACAAATGTTACCATTTTTTCCCAAACAGCATGGAAACACTCATATACATGTACACAAATTGTTTTTAATTAAATAAACTACAAAGGAACATTTCTAAGAATTCAGTAATCAAAATGTAAACATGTAATCATGGATGTGCACGTATAGATTTTATCGTGTGCACTGGGAAACGGACTGGAAAAACAGATCTAAATCTTTATTTCAAGTTTTCAAGATCCTAACTTCAATAATCAGAAGTAATGGTTTCTATTCTTGGAATGAGTCCTGGCAGATTTATCTTGGAATTATTTTAAAATGCACCTACTGTAAAAGTTTTTTTAAATGTATTTGAATATGCCGTGCCAAACTGTTGTGTGGAACTAAAAGTTGAAATGTTTGAATGTATAACAAAGATATGCATTTATTTTCTTACAGATTAAACAAGCGGATTTGAATGTGTAAATGTACTAAAGTATAACCAGATGCCATCAAGATTGGTTTTGAGCAGCTGTGCAAATATAATGGAAGCAATAATTAACACCAGATTCTACGAGTCATCATTCATCTTATTGTATTCTAATAAGACATCAATGAAGTCATTCAGGAGGACCAAATCAATTTCATCATGGCTTGACTGTACATGCATAGACCAATCCATTATTAAGCACTGTGCAAATAGGCAACTACCGGTAGTGCCCCTCTCATATGCCACTTAGCATGTTCCAGCTGCAAGCCTAGAACATGCTTGCATGTTGGAATTGCATGCATGTCCGACATTAACCATGGCTGTGATTGGTCAAGACACCATTGGGTGTGGCTTAATAGTTCTTGTGCCTAATCTTAAAGTCCGATATAAACAAGGGACAATAATTTCAGCAGAATGTTTAGTCAAATCAACAAGCTTTGCATTAACACCTGAATAAAGCTGGCAATCTTTTAACTAAGTTTAAATCATTCCCAATTTACATATTTCTGTAATCTTAAAACACAATTTCCCATGAATACAGCATACAATTTTTCATCCCTTTCTGATGAAAGAAACAATTTCAGAAAATATCAAATTTCTTGTTTGTGTTTTTTAATTTTATTTTAAAGACATGAATAATGTGAGGGGAGAAAGGAATTATTTCAAGAATTGTTCATGCAAATGCAAACTTATTCAATTTTTTTTGGGGGGGGGGGGGTTAGTTTGGGATCATTCTAGATAATTTTCCAAATGGTCATTGGAACATTATCCAGATGAATAAGTGGAAGTATTTTTGGCTGTTGCTGTAATGTTTTCAAACATTGCGCATGTTAAATACATTACGCCAATTCTCCGTGATTTTTGACAAAAAACTATTTAAAAAAAAAAGTGAAAACAAGGTAAAATTGGGGAATGAGTGGAAATGATTTAAACACATTTAAGCGAAACTAAAACAAAACTAAAAAGATTGTTCCAGCAATGTAAAGATCAGCATCATGAGCAAGTACTGTGTCAACTTTCATTATAGGTGATGAGGCTTTGCTTCACCTGCTATGCAGGGGAGGGGGCTTTGCTGCCTGTCGCCCGCATTGCTGTCAAGCAACTTGTGAACAACTCCTGAGCACAGACACACACATACACGTTTGTTTATGGTGTAAATCAAGGATTTTCTATTGTTCCTCTTCCCTTTTCCTTTGTTTATACTCTAACTTTTTTGCAACAGCTCTCATTGGTTTTGCACACGTTTTCTAATCGAGGTCGTCCTCCATTTGGTTCCTGTCCTCAATTCATCGATAATGTTGCACGTGTGTGTCCTCGATTTACACCATAAACAAAGGCATGTATACACCCCTTCTTCTTTATAGTATACCCATGACGTCATCAGTACGAAGTTTCCTTTTGCATGTTACCAGGTGTGTTAATAAATATTATCAGTCAACGTGCAAAGCTCAAAGCACAGACCAATAGTCCGGTCAATTTAGAACAAAACTGAGCCTGACCTAGAACAAATTGCAATAGAATTTATTCTAATGCTATCACGCTAAGATAATATCACTATTTAACATACTAAAAATCTAATTTCATCAAAGGAGTGGAAAAGCGTTTTTATTCACTTTTTCGATACTAATTTTTCATCATCGGTAAACAGCCTTGGCGAGTGTCATGTTTTCTTTTGCGTCCATTATTCGTCAGAAAATCCGTTCACATCACGTATGAGACTTCGCGAGACATGACTGATCACAGCAGAAATGTATGGTAATATGCCAAAAAAAGTCTCTGATTTCTGGTATGGAGCTTGCCCAAAAAGTGGTGCGGCGACACGGGTTTGTTTGTTTTTTTTCCCGTTTTTTTCCTACAAATGTCGGCTGATGACTGCAAATGGTGCCCGACTAAACTTAGTGCAAATTTATGGGAGTCCAGAGAGGCCAAATAAAGCTCATTCTCGATCGTTGCCCCATCTAAAAATGTTAAAATAGTGCAGCTGCAGGATTCCAGTCAAACCAGTGAGTTTGGCGGTTTGAGACATCATCTTTCGTTGAAAAAAAACTTTTTCATTTTGCCGACGCGCATGGCTACGGCGACGCACGCGCATACCAGAAACTGTAGACTCTTTTTTTTGGCCATACACTGCCGCACAATACTATAGGATATTTTCTTGAAAAAAAATCAAGAAGTTTGAGATGTTTTTGCTGCCCGAAATATTTATGGGTTAAAACAAATCAACTTTTGCCCAATAAACCATTTGTTTCATGGAAAATCTTTGCATAAAACAGGTCTACTTGAATAAAAGGGCGGGAAATGATATTACAAAGAGATCCATTTGAATGTAAATTTCAGGGGGGGGGGGGGGCGTGCCAATGAGATAATTTTTTTTTAAAAGTAATTACAACGCGAGGTCTGTTCCATCCAAAGAATCATTTTGTCGGGACTCAAATATGCTTTTCTGGAGTAGTTCATTTCACTCTTGACTGTACAAGCAGATGTCTCAATCAATGATTATACCTCGATCAGTATCTTCTCAATTTAGCTGTTTAAAGTTATGAAAAATGTGTGAGGTGCATGGAAAGCTCATGTACAGAACTACACAATGCACATCTGTTTCTCATTAACCTCGCCCATAAACATTTATTTCTTTATGATCTTTATTTCTTTATGTATAGTGCCCTGTAAAAAATTATGATTTAAAGCAGTCGTCTGCTGCACTCGCATGGATGTGGTCATGAATCCTAACTATTAGCTTATATAGACATGTAAATCGCAGCAAGTCACCAGACGAATTGTTTGAGGACAAAATGTCCCAAATTTTAATCTAAAGAAATGCTTGAAAAAAAACACCCTTCCACTTCATAGAAACAATTAGATTTTTCACATGTTGTTTGTGTATTTATTTAAAGCTATAGTCCATCATTTGCAACTATCCAAAAAGTAACTGACGTAATTATTGTTGACAAACATACTTGGTTGAAAGAGAGTAAGGGGACTAAACTCCCTGTGAAATTATTCTCTCTGGCAAGCTGTCATTTTGAAGAAATCAACGAAAGAAGGCCTTTCCAACGGTGCGTCTTAAGATGCACCGTTGAAAATTTTTGTTAGTAGTTCGTTTTTTAATTCGGCGAAGCATTCGCACGACGCACACGCGGCTGCTATAATTCGTCGGATCGCTGCGCGACATCGCGTAGCTGCAAACGGCTCAGTGAGAACGTGTCTCGGACGCTGAATTCAGGCCCAATTCAAAACATGATTCAGCAACTTTTGATTTGAAATCGAGATCCTAGAATGCTGTTTATCTCAAAATATACAGCTGAAGCTGAGCTGAAACTTCTAAGGGTTAGTTGTTCAGCACCCTTCTTTTGTTGCCTCAAACAAACAAAATACAAATGATGGACTATACCTTTAAAGTCGTTTGACGCTTGAATGGTTTCTATTGCAATTTGTTCTAGGTCTTAACTTAAATTGACCGGACTACAATTCCAACTTTCGGCCTGAGATAACAGGGGCCACGAACCAATGATTTTCTAAACCAGGACCCACACTTAGCCCATAAGTCCAGAATATTTCAATCAATAAGCATCTGTACTGATGATGTCGCACATTGTTTACACATGTGCTTTTCTGTGGGTGGGGACAATGGTTTTGTAGCCCCATAGAGAAGCGCACATGTAAACAAAAAGTGACATCATCAGTACAGAGGCTTATTAGGCATTGATTTAGACTTGTAAACATAAAGATGAAGTTTGACAGTATATCAATATCTCAAACTCTTGTGTATCACTTGAATCGAGATCGTTTATTTCCCTGAGAGCCTGTGTGTGAAGTAGTTTCCTTAGAGCGTTTGCCAGCAGTGTATTGCCTGCCTGACTGTGTCATCCCTGAGATGTCTCTATCTGGCATGCTGCTTTCACTGTGTCCAGTAGCAGTCTTATCTTGTTGGCTGGCTAATAGGTTCTTAGTTTTAGTGTGATCATTCACAGCATCTGTGGTGTTGTAGAATCCTTCTGGGGCTGTGTTGTCAGCCTGATCATCAGCATCCTCCTTGAGTTCCAAAGCATTCTCAATGTTCAAGATGCGATTATTCAATGCACAGATCATCACTTGAATCTGATAACAAATAAACAAATGTCACACATTACTATTGATCTTGTTCTTAACCTCCCAACCATGCACGAAACTGAAGGTGAGTGTGCATAAATATCATGGTGCGTTTTGTGCATGTAGCCATTTGTTGAGTTAAGGCACATGCTCATATTTAGCATTATAACCAAGGTGGTTTTTTCCATTTACCCCAAAAAAGCTAAAAATGAAAGGATTACATTTGCAACAGCTACATGTACATGTTGCACATGAGAACACTGGCAGAAAAAATCATTCCATTGGGTGCATACCAAATTAACATAATGAGTTGCATATATGGGGGTGGGTGACTGGGGGTGGGTGACGGGGGAGGGAGGGGGGGGGAGACATGTCCCCACCCATTTTAAAGTGGGGAAGGGGGAAGGGAATACAAAGTTTTTAAAATTTTTAAAATAAATATTTAAAATAAAATTGAATAAAAAGTGTAGCCTATATTTCATTTTATAGCTCAGAGTAGCTGACTCAATGACTCTAAACATTGTTTAAATGATGATAAAGAGGCCACAAATTGCCTCAAATCGCACCACAAACAAACATGAACATTCCGGAGTAAACCCTCAAACATCCTCCACAGTGCGGAAACCTAATCGCACACTTTTATTTTGCACTTTTTGACTCGATGTGTTTTTTGGTCTCTACCTCCCTAATCCTTTAAAATTTCCAAATTCGGGTGGGTTTTGAAGAATCTGGTATGGTAAAGGCCAGTTTACTCTTGACAAATCAGCAATTTTTTTCAATTCTAAAGGGAAACAGGGATGAATGCCACAATGAAACTATATTGTTGATGCTTCACTTTCACATGGCATGTAAAATTAGAGTTTGGGGTTGAATTGTTCCTCCATTTATTTCCTTATTTCATAATATTTTACCAGGGTAGTGCCATCAGTTTCTATTATTTCCATGGGGCCTCAGGGTCAATCCGCATCAAATCACCCAATGGGTTAAACAAACTTTGATGAAACGAACTTTGATGAAAAGTATACCAACACGTTTTCTACAAAATATTCAAACATCGGGGGTATATTTTTTGTTTGGTTTCTAGCTCATGTCAAAGTTGGCATATGTGTTGCAAAATGTGACATCCCTATATGGGTCATTCCACCGGGTTGGGAAACTGCATGTTACATCCAAATATTTGGTTTTATACAACACCTGAATAAATCCCCATCATCTGATTGGTGGATCGTTGATCACATGTCATTGAATTATTCGGCGCAGCGCACAGTGTAATGGAAATTCTATTGCACGGTGAATAGAACTTCCATTGCACAGTGTCGCTGCTGCCGGTGGTGGCGCTGTTTTAAATCGAGATAAAATGAATATGATGGTTCTCAACTTGCCTGTTTAACATTAAATATGATGAACTTGTCAAACTTTTTCAACAGTTTTTAAACTGAATAAATTGGCTATTAAAAGTCAACCAATCAGATGACAAGGATTTCTTCAGGCGTTATATAAAACAAATAATGAATGTTTTCCGTTTGTGCAATGGAAAAAATATTTCCTTACATATTCATCCGTCACCTCATGAAATTATTTTTACCACTGCACTCACAAACATTCATTATTTGTATAATATTATTGAAATTTTCAATGCATTCTAAACAATTGCTCAACATAATATTTGTCATAGGGTGTTTCAATACTTGAGAAAGTTTGAAATATTTGAATGTACTTTGACAAAAATATGAGCAAAAATGTATTAATTCGGACGTTACATTGACACTGTAACTGGACGCCTAATGCACCAAGAAAAGCTTTTGTTTTGGTATAGTCAGGGTTCAAATATAGCAGAAACAATACCTTAATGTTGATGTAACGGTGTCAAAATCACTCAATGATAGTGTGACATCTGGGTTTTACACCGTGTCCATGTTACATCCACAACCAAGCTATCATTTCTGCTCCATTTGATACCTGACTACCATAAAAAAGCTTTTCTTATTGTGTTGCATTCATAGTAAGAAGTACGTAAAGTGAATTTGGGTGATGTTTCACAGAAATTTAAAAAATAACAGCATTGCTGTTGAAACCCCTAAGCCACAGTCAAGTTATCATCCGGAAACCATTAATCTTTATCTCACCACGGTGACCTTGACCTTTGACCTTTTGACCTCAAAACCAATCCTAATTTGCCTACTCCTAAGGGCAACCCCCTACCGAAGTTACAATCCCAAAGAACATTTCTAACTCAAGTTATCATCCGGAAACTAAGCTACCCGCCCGGACAGACATAAGGACTTACGGACATACGGACGGACGCTGTAGGCGATGACAATACCCCTCGAGCCTCTCGGCTGAGGGGTAAAAAAATACAAATGTTACATCTGAAATGACATTTTTGCTCATATTTTTGGCAAAATACATTGAAATGATTTAAACCTTTCTGCAGTAGTGAAACACCCAACAACAAATATGCCTTGCTAGCAACTGCTAGCAAGGCATTCATGCTTTTCTAAATATGGTCATAGGCCACACATTGTTCCCCAACCCGGTGGAATGACCACACATACATGCACATTTCTGGGCCACAACAATCCCTGCTTTAAATCCACTGGTACTCTGCAGGGACAAAAATACCTTCAGGGACAAAAAAAATACACCTGCTTTAAACTTTCAATATTTTGAGTGATTTGACATTGAATGACCCCTCAATGAGAAAGGAAAACCAAATGGAATATTGGGGGGGGGGGAGCATCCTCTGCAGATTCAATCTAGATTCAATGCTAACATGACAAACTTACAAAACTCTTACTTTTAAAATGGAATCTTTCAGTGATTTTGCTGTTGGCAGATCAAGAGTTTCTTGCAGCCCAACATCAGCTCTCTGCCCTCTGGAACCAACCTGGTAACTACAGATAAAAACATCCCAACTCGCTAACAATCTGAATAGAACACATTTGCTCAGCACTAACAGTTGCATGATATTGAAAGTGACATTTTGCAACAAACACTTTACACTTCAAACAAGAGCAGATTATAAAGAGAAGGGGGTGGGGTTTAGGGTGGCTGTCTACTTCTTACCCTTCCTTCTAAACATGTTAATTGTTCACATATTAAAACAAAATCTTGTCCTAAACTGATGCCATACAATATCCCTTATCTTGGTTTATTGCTTGTGGCATTCAGTGTCTGTGTGTTGACTAAAGGCAGCCCCTTTTTCGACTTAAACAACTAAGTCACTCCCAGTAAAACTCCCCAACCCACCACTGCTTAATATTATCAAGTTTAATGAACCATTTGAATGCTTATGGAAGTACTTATTGGGCAGTTCCTTACCTGGTAATGTGATGAATGGACAATGTATAGAGATCACGCAGACTGTCTAGTTGTCTGGATGTTGTCTTATAGATCTTCCCAACTACCTCATTGCATTGTTTACACAGCAGATGAATGTATGTGCTAAATAAATAAGATCAATACAAATAAAATGAGAATATATCAGAAGGCATTACCAAGATCACATAAATGAAGCCATTGAGGTACATGTAAGAATACTGATGTTAACTAATTGGGAAATGCCAACATATGGATGAATAGCCAAGTTTAAAAGTTGATACAAATGTATGACTCAAATGATGCCAGTAACCCTACTCAATCAACCATTCAATGTACGTGTTTGGATCAACTTGACAAGTGTCTGACTTGACTCTGGTGCTTGCCCTGGATAACACATGACTCCACTCAAATACCAGATCCTCAAGCTACACCATGTGACTTGTTGTACTTGAAAATCTCAAATCTGCATGTTCTGAACTTTTGTACACCACCTTTTTTCATGGGTTTTGTGTGGGGTTTCTTGTTTGTAATGAGCAAAGCCTGGTTTTGTGATTCTAGAAAATCATCTTTGGTGAGGTTTTAACTGTTGTTAATTTGGAAATTCACAGTGAGTGCCTGAACTGTCTAGTGCACTGTTGTGTCTTTGGGCACAACAAATTAGGCACCAAATTTCTCAGTGAGACTGTAAAGGCAGGTATCGTACACTACAATGTGTATCAATGAGCACATGAAACAAGCCATCGTAACTGGAGACACAGTGAATTCTACTGTATTAGGTAAGGTGATGGGTTAAGAGAATCTTATGTACCTTCCCAGGTCAATTCCTTCTGATGTTGATGTCATCAGCTTTTTCCCTGGTGTTACTGCGCTGGTTATACCTACATAATCAAAACGATATGGAAATTATTTATCTCATTTATGTTATTATGTGGATTTTTATTTCCCTGTATGTCTGGCGCACAGGGAAAACTAATACAGCATTTATAAGAATTTCCTCTATAAAAGAAGGATATCAAAACTACATTTTATGGTTGGAATGGGAAGGCAAATAAGAAAAGATGCAAGACACTCTGATGTCATACTTTCCACGACATCGCACCAGACGAGAAAAATTGAAACACACCTGAAAGCGGTACGGTACCCACATATATCGCGCACACTGCATGAAGGTACGGTACATGCTGACAACCAGTGCGTGGAGTGATTTCGAAAATCTATTGTGATTGCGTGACATGCTTCATTCATGATACGTACACTATTAAGTTTTGTAATAACGGAGGACTGGGAATTAGTCTGGGAACATATGCATGTCACGAAAAAAACGATGTCCAGAAGCTGCCAAAATTGTTCTTTTGGCTAGATACAATCCAGCTCTGTGGCGTAATGTATGGTGGGGGTACGGTGTGAACAATAGCAATTTAAGTGGCAAATAAATAGCACTAGCGCTATATGGGATGTCACAGTATATTCATTCTCATTCTTCACATTCTTCATTCTTAATCTTACGTCCCCTCCTTGTATTCCCCCAAATCAGAATTTTTTCCACTACACTATTATTTAATATGTGATATGTCTATTTTTCCCCATTCCCCCGAATACGTGTATACTTTCATATCCTTTAAAAATATCCGTTAAATCTTTTCCTAGGTAAGTGACCTTGCGTTGCAACAGTGTAATTGTTAAGAATCAGTGAACGAGGATGCAGTTAGACTTGCCAAGCGCAGCCGGTGCTCGGCAGCGACAAGAATGTTATCTTGTTCCGCATTCTTAAGAATGTGCGCCCAATCTGGAACATTTTTTTTTTGCGAAGATTGCGCAAGGATCCGGTTGCGCAATCATAAGAATGTGCATGCGCATTCTTATGATTGCGCAAATCATAAGAAAGCGCACAACAACACCTTTTTGAATATCAGCAGGTTTAATTTTGTAGAAAGGGGTTAAAGATCACAAACAGAAAATATATTAAAAAAGCAACAATCCTGGCCAAATCTCGCTAGGCCCCCAACCCCTGTCTCTCACTGCGTGGTGTGTGCTCCATCCGCTGGAGAGAACAACATTGACCGGGGGAGCGGGGGAGTTGGTGACCGTAGGAGGCTAAGGTTATTTCCAAGTGTCCCAACCATTTTGGCCGGGATTGTCTGAATGTACAATAGCCTTGATATTGGATTTGGATATTGCGCGTAGTACGCGCTCAAATAATAATACAGACACGCACGCGCTGGTAACATGGTCAATGCACACGATTCACCATGACGGTGCACCATGTCATTTTGGCCGATATTTTTACAAAATACAGATTGTGTTTGACGTGAAAGCTGTATTAGGATACACAAACAACGTATCATCTTCTTCAATTTGTTTTTAATCCCTCATTTAGACGAAAAATCCATCCAAACCATAGTGTAACCATGGTTCACCGCTGTAAATTATATAAGAAGCAGAGTCACTCAATTCCTTTATATTTTGGTTTGGATGGATCACCGATGGATTTTCGGCAAATTAACGGAATGAGTGAATACAAACAAATTGACAAGGATTATATATTGTTTGTGTATCATATAATGAGCCTTTCAAGTTAAACACAAACTGTATTTTGTACAGTTGTTGGCCAAAATGGCATGGTGAACCGTCATGGCGAACCGTTACGATGCACGCAACAATAAAGTTGTGATTTTAAAGAATTGGAACATTTGTATTTTTCATTTCCATTTTTGTATTACTATCAATCTTTATTATCTGGCCTAAATAGGCCTATGTGTTCTTTCATTCAACCTTCGGCCGCCATTTCATATTTTGGAAACAAAACTCAAGAAAACAGCTCCCAAAACGGCATGTCATGCATATTTTGAAAAATGAAAAAAATTCAGACAATCCTGGCCAAATCTCGCTGGGCCCCCAACCCCCGGCCTAGCCCCCGGTCAATGTTGTCTCTCATTGCGCGGTGTGTGCTCCATCCGCTGAAGAGAACAACATTGACCAGGGGAGCGGGGGAGTTGGTGACTGTTGGAGGCTAAGGTTATTTCCAAGTGTCCCAACCATTTTGGCCAGGATTGAAGATGGGGAACTGCAAAAAAAGGTAGGAAAGTCACATTTTCTTTGAAAGTGCTTTCAAAATTACAACTAACATGAGTTTATCTGAAAAAAATTGACTGCTTTAGCCTGCAAAAGTCACCATGGTCACTTTGGTACTGGACAGTCATCTGCGAAAGTCAGTTTTGAACAGAACTTGTAAAAATAGAGGTGTCCTAAAAAAAAGGATTACCGGAAAATGGACCGTTTTTGTAATGCACTGGGGATACGGTCCCGGATTTCAGGACTGTTACGATCTAGTTCTTTTGATACAGAGTTGTGCCTCCAGCTCTAATGCGATAAGCATTGATTATGCGCCTATCAAATGTTTCCCCCCCGCGCTACCCCGGGTCCGATGTCAGGATTTGGTCACGTTTTTCGTGCCCCAGGGTGGGGATTTTGGTCACTCAAATTACCTTGTTACGTTGGCGTACTAATGGAAAGGCAATCACTAGTGCGCCCCACGTACATGACGTATGCAAGTCGGGGCATGGTCGGGGATTGTCACTTTGCCAGAGGGGTGGGGATTTTGTCACTTCAAAAGTGACAATCCCCACATCTTGGGTGGGGCAGCCCGGGAGGGGAAAGGTGGGGGAAACAATTGATAGGCGCATTTAGGCTGGAGTGGCGTGACTCAAGCTAGTCCTAAATCATGAAAGTATAGGCCTACGCATATAGGCCTACACTTTCCAACTCACTGTGCAAAGTGACGGTCTTCAAATCATCATTTGCGCAAACCCAGGCCATAGAATCTCCGACTATGCTATTACAGTTCTTACACTGAAGGACCACTGGTACGTCGCTGTTGTCCTCTGCTGTTTCATCATCCTCTGTCTCCTCGTAATCATCAGTTTTTTCCTTGTGCATTGACACACCACAATCTCGATTGCGGGCCGCCATTTTTAAACTCCCGGGAAATTTTCTACGGCTTGCGTATGGCGCCCAATCGTATTCCAGTGCATTTGATCCATGACTGAAATGGATCCCTGTCTATATGCACTTTATGTATGCCCCTCTTAGTTTGGCACGTGTTTGATCGGTGGTGTAAGTCACGACTTATAGTTGGCCATCAACTTGTTAAGTTGCACAACTTACTTTGGATCCTCGAGTCCTGAACATGCAAAACATGTTTCCTAGGCTAGTTATGGGAATTTGGCAAAATGTCCGACTAAAGCAACTACATTATGTAGGCCGATTCAACAGTGCCACGAAGAAGGAAGTGTTCTCTGCTTTCAAAGGAAATCAGAGTCATCATTCTGATGTTATTTTAGTAAGCCGTCGTCGTTCGGCTTCATCAACAACAGGGACTCATGGTCTAACTGGACCCAAGCGTTTCTTCAGGTCAACTTATACCACAGAAAAACCACAGTTTGGCCAACGTGGTAGTGAAAAGAGAAACACAACATCATCTAAATGTATTACCATTTTACCAAGTTCAGTAAGGAATTCAACCCGTATGTCATACCTGACCTCATGCTGCCAAAAGCTACCTGCCACGAGGGAGCAATTACTCTACAATGTACTAAATGTAGTCTACTGTCATCAGGCTAAGAGATGCATGGCTTCCAAAGCAAGCAAAGCAGGGAAGGGAAAGAAGAAAAAGCAGAGAATATCAGACTCGGAGGACACGGATTCAGATGAGGAATCTGATGATGACATCATCAAGAGAGATGAAGATGATTTGGAGAGAGATTGGGATCCTGAGATTGATGAGAAGCTTTCAGCAGATGAGCAGGAGGCAGGGAGCTCCCCAGAATGGAAGGAGATACAACAATATGTCCCATCTCTCAGACTGGATGCAGTGCTCAGTGCTGGACTGGGTGTTTCTAGAAAGTGGGTTGGTTTTACACCCCTCCCCCAACTGCGGCCAGGATCCCAGGTCCCAACTAGCTAGGATGGAGTAGTTGGGAAATCCCAACTGTAGTATAGGTGGGACGGAATGCGGCAGGGGGTTTCATGTTGATTTTAAGGTGCATGCTTGAAGAGTTTTGGCCACCTTACGGTACCCCTAAAAAGGTGACAAGGCAGATTGTGAAAAAATGGGTTGCATGACATTATTTGTTTCCAATGATTTGTTTCCTCTTTCCATATAAGACTTATTATTTTGTTGCCTCTAAACATTATTTTGTTACCTCAATATCATTTCATTCCTTGTTAATAATATTTTTGATATCTCAAAATGACTGGTTTGCGATTTATTATTTCCTTAATCAGTAGAATATAATAATTTATTTTGCACCCTCCAAATAATAAATGAAGGAAACAAAATCATTGTGAGGGAATTAACTTCTTTTGAGGTATTTTGAAAAAAATATTACGAGGTACCAAAATAATATTCGGAGTTGTCGGAACAAAATTGGTCAGCATCATTTTTTGACAGGCTGTCCTCTCACGGGCCCCGTACACTGTGTAGCCCAATAACTGATACATTTTATTCATGTCCAGTATCCGCGTCGCCCATTACCTGCTGCATTTCGTGCCAACTGTAGTTGGGACTTCCCAACTACTCCATCCCAGTTGGGGCTGGCCCAAGTATAGTTAGGACATTGCCGTAGTTGGGGCCTAACAGGTTCACCTCCAATTTGCCCATGGAAGAGAATGTCGTGGAGGCACAATTGCAGAATACTCCGCCACTCGATCTATCCACCTCGTAGCCGCCTACAGAGTCACGGTTGATCAACTTCAGTAAACCTTCTATAAGTGCTACCAGCAAGTGTACACGTGTCACGCATCATTGCACTCGCTCTCCGTATCTCGAAAACGGCAACGATGTAGTTAGTTTGGACTTACATTTTTTTCAGCAGCCATTTTGTTTTGCATTGCTTCGTTCTCAGTGGACCTCCAATCCAGAGCCACGTAGCTGTTAATTCAGCAGTTCTGAATTTTTTCAGCAACCCTCATTCCTTTTGCAGTGTTTTGTTCTCTCAACCATGCAGTACTCAGCATCAGTGGCTGTGACAGGCGCCCTCCCTCCGCAGCACTTTACCGAAGGCTTGCGATTCTGACTGTAGCCTGATGATTTTAGAAGTATATTTCTGAATGGCAGGGTATTCTGCAATTTCTTTCACACAGACATGACAATCTGAACAATGATTAGCTCCAGTGGAGTGCCATGAGTACAGTTTTTTTTTTAAGTACCTTACGTTTTGGGACTCTATTACATAGTATTGAGAGTCCCAAATTTTCGGACTAGTGCAAGACATGGTGGGAAACCATGGCAAAGCTATATCGTATCCATGACAACAATTAAGATTAGGCAAGAACTGGGGCATGTTATAGCGGTCATAACCAACAGCTGGTTCAGTTGTTGGTCACTGGTGGATAGACTGCAAACCTTGCTAGTGAAGTATAACAAGTGAAGTACTGCACTACCCAAGATGCTAAATTAATGAGAAACAAGCAAACCACTTTTTGTTAACGACCATCAAAACATGCCTGAGATTCCATCTTAAAATTCCATCTTATAATGCCCTAGACTGGTAATGGTAATGCCCCAGATTGTTCCATTTTCTAGGAACTACATGTAGTAACCAGTTTTTGCGTGGCTTTGCTCTCATTTCTTGTTCACTGTTGCATTCGTAAGTGACTAACAAAACACCATTTTTTTGCTAAAAAAAACCACCTTTAAAATGCAGTCTTTTTGGGGGGGGGGGCTTGAAAGTTGCATAGATAGTACATCAATGTTACAAAAATGAGTTTAAAATGTTGATTGTGCTATTCTGGGCCAAATTAATTGTTGTCCTGTACCGGTGCTTATATATTGCAGCGGTGTTGACTTAGTTTTTGTCAGCCTGTGGTGTCGGTGTAAAATGCACTTTTCCAACAAATTCATATCAGGGTTGTTACTTTTTCCCCCATTTTCACGACAGGAAGATTGAAGAAGCTTATCTTGGTACAAAGTTGAGGGTAAATGGCGAGAAAGTGATCAAGAAAAGCAGACAGGTAGGCATTTGCAGATTATGGATGTGCCACTACGCGTGTACACATCATTTGATTAAAAAGGCCACTTTTTAAATGTGTAAAAATTCCTGTGATTTTCCTCAACTGAGGGCGCTGTTGCTGTGATGTCACTTCAGGAAGAACTGTTCAGTTTAGGGGGTTTCTGTTTAATTGTGAACCCAAAATGTGCTCATTGAAAACATTTGTCAGAATGTGCAATTTCTGTAGATGAATACGTCTCCACAAGGTTTTCACGAAATAGATATATGGATTTTACTCGAAAACTTGAAATTTACTGCGACTGCAAATGGAAGAGTTTTAGAAAAGGGATATGAAGTCCAAATTTCAGCCAAGGAAATTAATTCTGGTTAAAATAAGAGCATTTTTAAACTACACTTTCAAACTCGAAAACTTAAGTACACGAGAATAAAGGATTGTCTCCACAAGGATACACATTTCAGTATGTGTGAGTTGATTGTTCACGAGATGATCAACCACGAAGCGGTTGATTGCTCACGTAGTTGGCAACACGCCGCTAAGCCGCCTCCTTCACGTAGCAGGCAAGACAATTAGGCCTCATTCATTAATACGCATGTACTAGGGGCATATAACTGAAAAATTTTATGTAATTATTTGACCGGGAATGTCATTTAAATGTACAGCAAAATTTGAAGTTTGCTTTTAATTTGGACAGGTGAAGGAGGGAGACATCTTGGATATGGTCCTGGAACGAAGCACGCCCTCACAGGCCAAAGAAGATGTGAATGATGATGGATTAACTGTAATGAGACTACACATTATGGAGATATCAACAGATAGAACCAACAAAGATAGGGTTCCTGTGCTGCTAAGAAGATGGAAGAATCTTAGGTTAATCAAAGAAAAGAAGTGACGTGGACATGGTGAAAGGTTTTTGAGTGCATTTTCCACAGAGCATTTTGCATGTGAAACTTGATTTATGCCTGATGTAATGAGCTACATGTTTTTGTAATCCCAAGCAGATACACATTATGTTTGAAATTGGAAGTTATTGTTTTACATAATTAATGGCAAGATCTGTTTTGTAAGACATAAATAGCAGGCACTCAGCTTTGATGTAATGATCCAATACAGAAGTGTGCATATGATATTAAAGATGAACCTTTGCCTGCATTTTTAATTGTTCACTAATCGTAAAGGTCTTGGTCACAACAAACCCACAGAATATCTTAATTGGTCACTAGTGCATATCTAATCCCCCCTTGGGCCTGTGAATGACCACAAGAGGTTCAAGGGTATTCTGCCTTAAACGTCAGGAAATAGTGTTCAGTTTCTTTTTGTGGAGTGCCATGGTATGGAGCATTGAACTAGTGGTCTGCAGGTAATTCTGCAGGTTGTGGGTTCGAGTCCAGCCTGGGGCTATGGTGTGTGTGTCCTTGGGCAAGGCACTTTGTCACTTGTTGCTTCTCACCCAGGAGTAGATGGGTACCTGTAAGGACAGAGATGGAAATGGCGATTGATTCTAGCTGCCTTGCACCAAAATAGCTGCATCTTGGAGCTATAAAAAGCTTCATGGCTGCATCAAGCTGTATACTCCCCAGGGAACTGAGATTGTATTTGGAATGTTTCATTGGCCCAATGATCAGGGGTAATAATAATGTAAAGCACTTTAATCTCGGCTACATGTTATTATTATTTTATTATTTTGGATGCCTAACTGTGCACTGTTTTAATATGTACCTTTGTATTAAAAAAATATGAAAGACATGCAACAATGACAAAGTATGATATTCATATTAGCCTTAACAATCCCCATCCAGTCAAACTCCAACGCCAGGGGTTTGTTTGAATCTGTTGGAGTCCTATGGGGACCTATTGGTATCATTTCTGTTGGTCAAATCTCACTGGCTAAACTTTGCCTTTATATCATTCCTTGACATAAGATGAAACCCGAGCACAAGAGTTTCTACTCAACATGGAAAGGTTGATGATTGGAGTCACCTTTTGTGATGACATAAATGACATTTTACTGCATAAAACGATTTTTAGAGGGAATGTTTGCCTTGACATTTCAACAATGTTTATTAACTTATGAATGTTTATTAAATTAAGTATTACATGTATAATGATCAACTGTTTGTTGATCTATGAATGCTTTTCTTTCTTACATCTTGACTCTTTGAGCATCATTCAATCTTTATTTTCTAGAGTGTGGTGTATGGTACTGGTCAAAATGCTTGTGGTGTCATTGTGACCCATGCAACTTCCACCCACCTCTGTCAATGGATGACCTTTCCCGGGTTCACATTGCATGGTCTCTCATATGACTCGGTCTCATTCAAGGCCAAGTTTGCTTCAGTTGATGCCATATGATGTCACAAATAATTGTTTGTTTCCCGAGTATGAGAACCAGCCTTTTAGAGTTAGTGCAGAGTGTGGATTGGGTGAGAATTGGGGTTCAATGACCGTAAGGGTGGTGTGTAGTGTTCTTTTATTGATAAGGTTAAATAATGTTTGTCCTGAACCTTTCAAATTTAATACCAACACACCCATGCTCAATTCTCATCTTAACATTCAACTTAATCTTACCCTACTTCTAAACCCTTAACCTCGCCTCAAGGCTTGGGACTTACTGAACATTTAATTTGTGTCAGATGATGGACGTACATGAAGTATCGGACAACTTAAAATGGCTGATGCCTGAGTAAACAAGCACATGATGGGGAACCCTGGCCCACTGAATGGAGATCTTACATAAGGACCACTGAAATGATTCAGAGACCACTGAAGCGTAATGAGAAAATGGTAATTTATTGAGAGATTTTTATGTTGGTACAAATTTAATAAGAAAAGTACAGTGGGAATCATTGACGTTTGAAGAATTTCCAAGCCTAAAGATTCCAATCATATTATGGACACTGCACAAAGTGTAGATGGCACTTGGTGACCGCTCGTGAGTTTTTCTGTGGGAGAGACACACTGCATGCTGGCACAGGTTTGTGTGTATGAGTGCCAGGCATACAACCAGCATGGTGTTCCACAGTGCCACCTATCTTTAGTCTGCATGAGGGGATACCTGTGCACAGAGTCCATAGTCTGAATATCTTCACATATCAAATCAATCAGTTCAGTTTGTTTTAATATTTAAATACAATTCAATAATTAAGAAAAAATAATGTTATTTTATTGGTATAGTGTGCTTTTCCATAAATTTGATGAGTGGTATGCATACATCAAACAGCAACATCCCTTCGGTGAGTGCTGTACACATGAAACCATTAGAGGAACTCACGGGAGTATTTTCCGTGGTAGGGAAAGGGAGAAGGGTGTTTTATAAATGCAGCTGCAACTTTCAATGTAATAGTGAGCAGCACTGTTCAACTGATGAGAAGTTCCCCAGCCACCACTTGCAATCTCTACCCCATGATCTGATGAGGATAAAGCCTCTGTACTGATGATGTCACACTTTGTCTAAGGAGCCACGAACCTTTGGAGCTACGAACCGTCGGAGCCCCAACCAGGGTCCCCACAAAGTGTGACGTCAACAGTACAGAGGCTTATTGACCGTTCTCATGATACATTCGAATTCCACAGGTTGGCAAAGTCCATAATGCATCCAGTGTAAATAACTGGTTGGCACTGAGAACCTCCGTTAACATTGTTTCTACACATTTGTGCAAACTTTCCTGAAGGAAAACATGCATGTAAGTTTTTACCTTTTTTAATTGTGATGTTTAGAAAGTGGACTTCTAATTTCACATTTTAGTTTTACAATTTGCCAAGTCCATTATGCATTAGATTGTAACCTGCTGATTGGCACTGAATGCTTAGGTTTACCATTTCTTCTTAGTGTTTCTGCTAACTTGGCAAGAGCGCACAAAGTTGGAATATTTCATGGGAACAGCCACCTTGAATATTAACAAACATTTCATTTTGTTTTAAAACTGACCATTTTTGGCGGAACCTCAAGTACCAAAAGATACCGTTAAATACAATTGCATATGACTACATGATTACAAGATATAATTGACACCAAGGTAATGGTGTATTTTGTGAAGTGACTATGTCTAGTGGACCTTGACTGTATCATCAATGGCACACCACCTGACATTTGCTCAGTATAATGATCCCATTGAATGGTGTGACACAGTCCAATCTGCAAACATGACTCGGTCACACATGCCAGCCATTTTGCTACCTGTGACAGTGACAGCAAATGAATGTTGTGTGTGTTTTTCTAATGAGAGTTTTCACTTTCTTATTCATCAATGTTTGTGACAATGGTATTTATGTAGAAGGCTGTTACAGAGGTAAATGGCTTTCAAACAACAAGAAGCCCTTGAGCCTTCATCAAGTTACGCCACTTGTTTGTGGTGCAAATCACTTTCTCCATTCTATCCTTACACAGAAACTGACGTTAAGTATGAACACAGTGAGCAAGGAATATCTGCAGAGTACCCAGTGATTTTCTGCAGCACAATGTTTCAATGTACAAGACACAGTCCCAAGTACATATTGTCAAGTCATGTGAACTGAGGAAAAGGTCAACTCATTTCATTCAAAGGATTACAAATCAATATAACAAAAACTGAAAAAGTAAAGGAATCCTTAATATCAAAACAATCTATAGTCTGTACATAAATGCATTAACAAAAAATTCAAATACCCTCTACCAAAATAAAGGCAGTTTTATTCATTTTGTACAAAAGTTGACTTAATTTTAAATCAATATTCATAAATGTTAAATGCTTTCAATCTACCTTTTCAAGGAATGTTCTAAAAAAGTGCTACACTCTATTTATTTGAGTAGTAATATGCTTATAAAGTAAGCAAGACTACAGAATGTTTGCTAGAAAGAAAGGTAAAGAAAAACTGTACAGTTGACTGAATGCAAGGAAAGAAGAGATCCTTGATCAACATTTAACCTGTATCCATCATTAAAATGGAAACTTTAGGCACCATTATTATCACCATTACAGTGCTCATATGCTCAAGCCAGAAGTGGTGAGTTAACTATTTGAAAGCTCCCAAAAGTCAAGACAAAAGGTACTATCAACTATCACATGTTCTGCAATGTGATAGCATCTAGCCCAGCAGTAAACACACCTTTTCATACTTTAATGTACCCCAGTCCAACCTTTATTGGTCAAATCAGGGGAAATTCATGTGTACAGGTTATAAGTGTAATTATTCATCCAAGAGTGTATCTGCAGCCGTACAGTTTAAAAACAAAACTTGTCATGAAACGTATCAAGCAAAAAACCCCTAAACACATGAATCTACAGAATTTTAAGAGAGTGGTTTGTTCTTCAAATTTTAAAGTGTGGGTTGCTATTTTTCTTTCTTTGACGGACAACTGACATTTCCATTGTAGATCTACATGTAGAAATCAAGCACAGTATCTTTTCAAAAGAATATCACAAAGAAAAAGAAAGCCAAGAAGAGTTGGACTGGAAATAATTACATAATATATATATATCACTTTTAGAAAGGTAATAATGGAAGAAATGATCAATTGGAACAAGTCACAATTCAAATTAAATATTGTCACAATCAATGTATGTGTAAATTGTAACAAAATAAGTAATTGTTTTTAACTTATGACCCTGATGCCATAGAAATACTAAATAACTTGATGAGAAAACCTGTTCCCTGCAAAGTCCTGGTGGATATTCTAAATTTCAATCTAATCATGTTATGTCCTGGAACAGTGAAGACTAAGGAACACATCAATATGTGGATAACATAATAGTCCAGTACTTGATCTAAACATGGATGGTATGCATGTCATCACAATGAATGTGCCTTTGATGGAAGTCACATGATGTTATCAGGATTTGTTTATATTAAACTCATCTCACTCCCCATAGTCAGTACAATACTGAAACTATTATTTAGGCAGTTCATAAGAAGGTTTTCCTTTCACCTGACTTATACCTGCACTAGTCATAAAGACAATTGTAAACAAATGTATATCTTACAACTAAAGAAAGAATTGAACAATGTTGGCAATTTTTGTGGAAAGCAATTTTAGGTTTGAGGTGCAAATAGAACAATGATTGGCTTATTTCAGTAGGGCAACATTTGTCACTTTAATTTGGGTGCTGCTTACATGCTGCTCTGCTTTATGCCATGTGCAAGGTCATTTTCAGCAAAAATTTGCTTTATTCCTTCAAAACTGTGGCTTTACTTGTACAATAGATTGACACATTTGTCAAATGTAGTCATTTCTGAGTGGTCAAATATTGGGTCAGTATACTACAAGATTATTGAAGCAAGTTTTCGTTTTTAGTACATGAGCTAATTCTATGTCTATGACTCACTGTAAGCATGCAAAGTGGATGTGTGCTGGCAAGCACATCCCTATTGGTGGAAGTATTATGTTCGGGAAAAAAAGAATAGAAATTGTAGTAAGAAAAAATATGTACATTTTCTTACAAATTTATTTAGTAAATATTATTTAAAGTATTTTTGTTGATTTAAATGCACCAGTAGTAAATTTACAAGACATGATTTTTTATATCCAAAATTATTTTGGAAAGAAAATGTTTTTTAAACCATTCTTATTAGTTTCAACTCTAGTGATTCATAACTTCAAGATACAAAAATAAGTCTTTCATAGCTCATTTAGCTATTTAGTTCTAACACTCAACATGTCAAATGAAAATGTCATAAACTACAAGTACATTCTTAACACGAAGCCACCACAATTGGACAATGTGCTACATGTATTACCCATCACATATACACCCATACTACATTGGTCCACCACAGACACAACCAGGCAAAAGAAAGTGGAATGACAAGTCCCGATGGCATCACTGGATTCACTTCTGTGGAACAACTTACTGTCACTTTGGTGAGAAAATTATGATTGATGCCGATACAGATTGAGTCAGATTATATAATTACAACTTATATAATTCTCTGCTTGGATGTCCAACTGAAATCCCTGGATGAGATTTTCTTTCCAAAATGGTAAGGGAGATTTAGAGATTTGAGATACACTAGGCTCTCCTGAAATCTTACCCAAGTCCAGTGTCACAATGATCAGCTTTCGCAGGTCACATTCACTTTGTTAAAATGTGACAATACGATGTAAGCTTGGGTTATAAAAGTAGGGAGATGAACGATGTGTGGACACACATTCACACCTTTGAAAATAGCATCACTGTAAGCACCTTTTCCATTTCAAACAGAAAAAAAACCACATCCAGGGTTGTACTGTCTATACTGGACTCAGTAATGAAGTAGACTGACTAGAGTCCCAATCAGTATCCAATGCAAACAAGGCCTTTGTCACGAAGCTTATGAAAGCTTGTACTACCTGAGTACACTCGTCATGTGCATACTTGAGATCAATCCATCTGTCTGTGCTAGGATTCTATAGTGATGTGTGGATGTTTATCAGAGGGTAGTAGAGCTAAGCTTCTTGAGTTTCCTGCGTTGAGCTAGCATAGAGGATGTGACGGGTTCCAAGTTCTCTACCTTAGGTTGATTGTTCAGAGCCAGGTAGGTTGCCTTCATTGCTCCCTGTAATTCATAAACACACAACAGTATCAAACTCATTCGGTAATCAGTCACCACTGCTATGTTTTTTTCATTTTGTTAACGACTCGTGCTGATACTTCAAGTTGCTCTCTACCCATGATATTCAACATAATTATTCAAAATTTCTTCTAACAAATTTTCAATGATTTAAACAGAAATTTTGGACTTTTTAACCCTCTGAAAATATGCTTTTATGCCCGTAACGCACAAAAAGACGTGTCTAAATAAAACATCAATAATGGTAAAACTGAGCTAGCACTAGATGAAGTGCCCGAGGTCCAGTCTGGCACGCTGTAGTAATTGAAACCCATGTCAGCTTGATGCAACCTGAAAATTGTGCAGGTTCTGTTTGGGGTAATTATGCATATGTGTACATTTCACTCTTCCAAAAATATCCAATATTCACTGAGCTAAGTATTCCACATAGGGTTGGATGGTTGGACTGTAACTGTTGCCTGTACATACCTTGACCAGGTCATAATCCTGTGTAGTGAGTCTATTCTGTGAGAGTGACTCGCAGTGTTGCATCCATGGATGCTGCAACACTTTAGCTGCTGACGGTCTCTTGAAGGGGTCCACATGCAGCATCCAACGCACCAATTCCTAGCAAAACGCATCAAATATTCATTAACTAAAGAGCTCAACTAAAGACGGGCAATTTTCATCTAGTTATCATTTGATTTGTTTGGTGATTAGGACTCTATCAGGAATGTACCTTGGCCATTGGTGAGACATGGTCCCAGTTGCCGCCGTTCAAAGGAAACTTGCCCTCTCCAATTCTGGCCAAGATTATCTCAGCACTATCCTCTGGTCCATGTGCAAATGGTGTATACCTAAACAATCAACAAAACAAAATTGGATTCATCGTACATTTTTTTTAAAAAGAGGGTGTGACATTAACAATTGTTAGGATGAGCTGGTGTCATTGAAGTGTAACAGATTATTGGTATGATTGACAGCCCTGATCTCCATAACTGATTGTCATGCAGACACTGGTCTCTCGGTCACTAATAGGAAGCCACTAATGTATGAGAAATGAATTTGACAATGGGAATAGGAAAGACGGCAATAAGAAATTCGGGGGTGCTTAAGTTGCTTGCCACAAGATTATTGCTTTACTAACGTTCGTCCTCGACGATCGTCTCCCCCCTGGTTTGATGGATAAGTTCATTGTGCTCTCAAAGTCAAGGAACGTGCCTTTCAGAGGAAACGTCTTCATCCCACGCCGCACAACATTGCTACTTTTAAGGCGGCGAGATCCACTTTCAAGCATCTCAAAAGGAACAAATATTCCCACTACCTAGCCACAGTTACAGACGACCTTTGGGTGAATCCTAAGCATTTTTGGAGCTGGAAGGTAGCCAACATTGTTGCCGTTCATCAGAATGGGAACAGACAAAATGTTGCCAATTATCGTCCTATTTCGTTGATTCCCCTGGTTTTGAAGGTCTTCGAAAGGATTCTCTGTGAGCGACTCCAGAATCATGTGAAACCTGTCGTTGCTGAGCAACAGCATGGCTTTGTTCCGGGCAGAGATTGTTCTTCAAACCCGACATCCTTGTTGCGTACTGCTTACTGTGCTGTTGATCAGGCAAGACAGCTGGATGTTGTTTTCACAGACTTTTCGAAGGCCTTTGATCGAGTCAATCACAAACCCTTAATTCACAAGCTTTGTTCGTACAATATCCACCCTAAAGGGCCTGTCACACTGTCACGTTCTGGCATGGAGTTCGTACCGCGACCAAGAAAATAGACTAAAACGCTGTGGGAACGCTGATTGCGGCATGGGGACTCATTGATACTAGTTGAGGACTTCAGAGGGACTCCAACAACTTCGCTGAACGCCAAACTACCACGTTCGTTTTGGACATGCACAAAACAAACGCTGCGCCTCGGCGTTTTGATCAGAACGCGGTAAAGACTCTGTGCGAACTCCTCGCGAACGGCCGTGATGCACTGGCAACGTGCAGGACTACTGGAGCAACGTCGTGAGAACTTCACGAACGTGCATGCATCAGGACTGTGCGACTCCTCTGCGTTTCCTGCGTCTATGCCGTTAAAAAAATGTGAAGACTCATGATGACAATCGCCCGTTTTGGCCCGAGTATACACGCCGCGCTTCTGGCTGCTGACGTCACATGTACGTTATAAGGTCGCATCAAGCGCGCGATAAGGACTCCACGAACGTCGTACAAACTTTTTGGACACCATGAGGACGCAGCGAGGATGCAAAGGACGCAGCACAGACTTCTAATTGGTCTTCAATGAAACTCATAGAGAACGCCGCAAGGACGCTATAGAGTGCCACAGGGACGTCTTAGACTTTCGGTGGACTTCACAGAGACGCATTGCAAGCCACTAGTCTTGCGTTTTCATGGCGTTTTGTTACATTTTTAAGAATCTCAACAACGCAATATGAACGCCATGAATGGACGTGACAGTGTGACAGGCCCGTAAGCTTCTGAAGTTGTTGTGTAGTTATTTGACAGAAAGAAAGCACCGAGTTGTGATTGATGGATTTTGTTTTGGTTGGAACAATGTTCCTCAGGGCCCCCTCTTGTTTACATTGTTAATGACATCCCCTTATGTGTCAGCAACCAGTGTTTACTTTTGAGGATGATCTTAATAAGCCTGTTTGATATCCATTTATTTTTAAATCGGAATATTGTGAAAAAAATATCGGATATCGCGAGACTACTAGTCTCATTTACTTTGCCAATAATAAGTAGCAAACAAATTCCACATTCAAATATTGAAAAAAATTTACCTTGAAATGTTTGATAAAAATGTGCAAATAGAAATATCTCACGAAGAAAGAATGAAGCACTAGTATACAAATATTGAATGCTTCGAGTGGTGTAAAAATAGCCTCCCGAGATAATCAATGGACATTCTATTTTCCCGAGGCGAAGCAGAGGGAAAAAAGAATGCTCCATGGATCACTAAGGGAGGCTAGTTTTACTACACCACGACATAAAGCATTCAATATTTGTTTTATAACACAGATTCTGCTTGGTTTTAATATTTTAAACTAACTCCTCACTCTTACGCGCGGAGACGCTTTGAAGCTGTCCTGGGAGCAGGTATTTTGAATTCATGTGCGTGTTTGTAGAACATAACGAAATTAGATGGATTGAATTTTGAAAGTGTCTTCTACATGCAACGGGCAAGTAGAACATACGCAAACAACTTAAGCGCTTCATTGACGGTTAAAAAAAGTCACGGCAAAAAGCATCTGCAGCGGAGGGCAGGGACGCGCACGCATTGCGCTGTTTGCGAAGAGCAAAATGACACGCTCATTTGCTGATCGTGCGTGTTGGTTTTGGGCGTATCGGCTTCGATGACGCACCGGTATATGGAATACAAACGCAGATATGCAAATAGCTGTACAAAAGCCGTACAAAATTTGTAGTTTTCCATAGGTTTGTGCACAAACATGGATGCGCCCATCAGGCATTACTTTGTGCATCGAGTTAGCGCTCTAGTAATTTAATATAGCTCTATGCATGTGACTCGCTCTTGGCCAATCAAGACACAGAATCTGTGGGTGAGGTGTTATAACACGCAATGCACGCTGCACTGATGATGCCTCCTGCACTCACAGTCATAGTAGACTGTGTACAGCCCACACCATTTGTGGTCAAGGGTGTGCTTCCTTAAAAACAATTTACCCCTATTTCCACCTTTTCAAAATTACAAATAATATTTTTTTTTTATGGAGTCCAAAATATTTCCTTGTTCAGAAAAAGTTCTTCATTGTTACAAACTCACAAAATATTTTTTTTTCTAAAGAATTTATTCGAAAAACGATGTTAACTCCAAAAAGAGGGTGAAGCACCCCTTTACAAAATTAATGGATCCGTCCATAGATTTCAAGTGATGAAAACTGAGGGAAACGAATAATTATATACCTGCGTACGTATCATAAAAGTATCATTGAGGGCGCTAAACAAACATGTGGTATGCGGATCTCGTTTGGGAAAGCTTCCTGGCTGCACGCGCCGAAACGAAAGCAATATTTCCGATATTCACTTCTCAACGTCATAATCAACAATTATTTGCGGTGTTTTGTCTGTACAACAAAAATGAACTTCTCGTTCAACTATTTCTTCAGAGACTAGTACCTGTGCGGTATCCACCGTGATTAATTTACACAATTTTGTCTTTGCCTCTGTTCTGCCTTGCTGAACTTACGAACTTCTTTACGGAAAAAGATGTCTGCAAAATCACCCCAATCGAATCGTTTTAAGTATAAGCAGTGTTCTATATGAAACATTTCCGTCAAAACAAAACAGGCACCGTATTTTCTTTGCGAAATGTCAGAGAATTGTTTCCCTTCGGCTAACTTACACACGCACGTGATTACGTTTTCACTTGGTATGAGGGGCGAAATTGAGAAAAATCTTGTTTAAAAGTTGGTCTGGATTGTGTTGTTTGTACTGCCACGTGGAAGACGCAAAATCCAATACACGTGACGTTAGTCAGTTGGTTCCGCCCCTTAATTGGTAAGACCTTGCGGTACAATGCAGTAACAGTGAATTTGTGGTTTGCGGTTTTTCATGGGAGCGCTTTAGCGGCTCTATTTGAACTCAAGTGGTGACTTTACAAAAGCGATACTACAAAAGAATATCGCGATATTTTTCGGCATATCGAATTCCATGATGTGCCGATTTTTTTTAAGAGATCGATACGATTTCCGATATGAAAATTAAATCGAAATATCGTGAAATATCGTCATACAGAACAGGCTTAGATCTTAAGGTGTTTCGTCAAATTGATAGCGAGTCTGACTGTCTGGATTTGCAGAGTGACTTACGTAACATTTATTTGTGGAGCACTACTTGGCGTTTGTACCTGAATATGAAGAAATGTAGTGTACTTACCATTACCATTACTCTGAAGAAGAAGCCTTTTAGCTATGATTATTTTATTGATGGTTAGGCTATTGAGAGGATGCATGTTCAAAAAGATTTAGGTATTCGTATTGACAAAAAGCTGAATTTTGTTGACCATGTGGGCTCCTTGATTAAAAAAGCTGGTCGTTTGTCCGGATTAGTGTGGCGTAACTTTCCGAGTTGCAATAACATGCATATCTTGCACACACTTTATTGTACCATTATCAGACCTCACTTGGAGTACTGTACGGTTGTTTTTAATTCAATTTCCAAATCTCAAAGTGACAGGTTAGAAAGAGTGCAGCATCGTTATTTGTATTTCATGTATAGGACCCTAAACAACCTGAATTCTGACAGTGCCACTCCTAGTTACACTGAAATATGTGATTTATACAGATTGTCTACTCTTGCTGAGAGAAGAACTGTTAATGATTGCTTATTTCTGTACAAACACATTCATAGTTGTTTTAATTTGACTGACACTAATCCATTTTATCTACATGTCCCTTGCCGCCAAACTAGGTCTGCCAACCTTGCCATCTTGCATATCCCATGGAGCCGTGTTGAGGTGACCAAGCAAGGGTTTGTTACTTGGATTTCGTCAACTTACAACCGACTACATGGGAGTTGCGATGTGTTTGGGGCGACCTCAGTTCAAGTATTTTGTAGACAGCTGTACAGAGCCATCAGTAATCTCCCCGCCTAACTCTGCTGCCCCTCTTTCCTACATTACCCTTCCTATTCTGTGTATGTTCCACTGAAAGGTGTACACCTATTGGACTGTGTATTTGGATCTTTCAAGTATGAACCACAACCCTAACTTAAAACAGAATTGTTCAGTAACGAGATAGCCTTGGTCAAGGCGTTCGTCATTAGCAATCCGCACGGTAATCGGCTACCAAATATCCTCACCACACGGCTGCTAACTCGCTAGCTGTGGGCAGTGTAAAATATAGCGCAAACAGCGACCACATGTGGCCACTATTTATATGCAAATCAACAGGACCTGGACAAACGCCTTGGTCCAACCGTCCACAAAAGCTTGTGTTTTTCTTTATGTTACACTAGATTTCTAGCTCACGACCTCGTATGTGAATACAGATAAGTGTAGGCAGGGCTAATATGTGGAGAGTCCAATCACACCTTGGTTAATCCCGACGTCATCAAATTGCAGCTACTTTGCAACATTACATGCATGACAAAAATGGCGGAGATTCACGGTAGTTTGTCGCCCGAAGATCTGTGGTGCTGCTCAAATTCTCCAGCGGATAAATTAGTCCTCAAAGATGGAAGGCCTAAGAATACTTTTTTCGCGGTCAAGCCGTTTTCGTGAATTTGCTGACAGGTAATGGGAAATCCGTCATGTTTTAGGCAGTTCCATTCAGCAACACAATTCGTTGGTTTTCTATACGCAAGAATCAAGCAATGAGAAATAACTTTCAAAGGTCAGCTTAGGTTACTAGCATAATGAGCACCACCCCCAAAACCTCACTCAGACGGTTGGACCAAGGCGTTCGTCCGGGTCCAGTTGATTTGCATAAATAAAAGTTACCGCATGAGTTCGCTATTGGCGCTGTATTTTTGCAATGCACACAGCTAGCGAGCAGAATACATTTTGGCCGCTGGTTACCGTACGGACGGCTAATGACGGAACGCCTTGACCAAGGCTAGTAACAAGAGGGATTCCAAGGCAAGAAACAGATTGCTGCTACCTTCAGAATCCTGACACTGGGATATTAGCTCAAGACAAATCAATGACAAAATCAAAACAACTGACCCTGCTAGCATAGTGTAGAGCAGAACTCCAAGACTCCAGATATCACACGCTGCATCATAACCTTGCCTCTTCAATACCTACAAGCATAACATAGCAAAGAGCAAAACTTAGTATCAAACTCTGAATGGGCAGTTCTGCTATGGTACGTCCAGGCAGAAACTGTGGATGGTGATGTGTGGCATCCCCATCAGGGTCAACTAAAGACACAGCATACATGTGGGTGTTGGTGCAAATGAAATAACACTGAAAAGTTCCCTGTCATCATTTTTATCTTCAAGCTAACTTGAATCCTCGATCATGATTGGTCGATCCGTGGCAAGGAAAGTGTGATATTATCCCAAATACCACGGTCCATATCACAACCTATTCCTGCTGCACGCACGCATAATAGGATTATCGCTGAAAATGTGTGTGTAGTGTGCGTGTTCCATCTTTACTGTGCTGCAAGTATGCTTGAAGATCAAGTTTGCATTCGGCCTCATTGCATATGGCGCACAAAAGCACTACATTATTCCGAGATCCACTCGCGCTCGTGGGACATCTAATACTATCTTCACCACTGACAGTGACATTGAGTCCATAGTCACAGGCCTGGAATAGAACATTACTATGGCATCCAATGAAGAGGCCTTGGCCTTTCTTGTTCCATTTAAATGTTCTGACTTACATTTAAAAAGTTGTTGTGTCAAGTTTGTTACTTTTGGGTTTTTTATCACAAAGGTATTTATAAATAGTAGTGTGATAGAGCACTACGACAAACTTAGTATATTGCATTACTTGCAAACGATGTAACAAACTCTACATCAGAGAAACAAAGCGACGCCTCGCCGACCGATTTACTGAACATCTTTGTAGTGTGAGAATTCGGCAGCCACTCTCCGTAGCGCAACACTTCAACACACATCCTCACACTTGTGACGACATGCAGGTGTGCGTCGTAACTATGACGACATGCAGGTGTGCGTCGTAACTATGACAACAACTGGCGCACAACGCAAAGAACGAGAGTAGTGTCTCATATTCTATTTGGGGACACTCTCACCTGGTGGTTTGAACGTGGAATTCTCCGCGTTCAAAACATGCAAGAACAACACCCCATGAAGGACGGATGTCCGAAAGCTTGGGTACAACTACTAATCAGGTGAGCATTAACAATTCATTTTTCCAGTGTGATAGAGCAGTTATAAACAGTTTGGTTTAAGACTGATTAGGGGGGGGGGGGGGGGGGGGCTCTCCACCGATAATCAGCAACTAGGCCCTCAACCATCACGCAACTATTCCCTAAGCCAAAAATAAGTACTATAATATATAAAGCTCAACTCTTAGTCACTGTAGTGCTCAAAACTGCCAAAGCACTCAATGGTTTTACTGAGTACTCGGTGAATAAACACAATGAAGTACATGTGCTACTGGGTTACAATCAGGTTTTTAATTCAATTGACTAAGTACACTATTTACCTCTGGTGCAACAAAGTTGGCAGTGTAGCATGGCGTCATTAGCATGCCATTGTCTGCTCGCATCTGTTTAGCAAAACCAAAATCACTGATTCTCAGTGAACTAGGGTTTCCTGAGTCATCTGCATAGAGTATGTTACTTGGCTTCAGGTCACGGTGAACCACCTAGGATAGTGAAAAAAATTCAAATTTTAAGAATTATATTCAAGATTATTGGACATAAATTTAAAAGAATAAAAACAATTGCCATGTTTGGATTTGTTACTTTTTTCCCTTAGGCCAAAAAAAAAAAGTCTCCGGTCTCTGGTATGGAGCTTGCCCAAAAAAGTGATTCGGTGACGCGGCTTTTTTTTTTTTTTCCCCTGATTTTTTTGCTTCAAATGTGTGCTGATGACTGCAAATGGTGCCCGACTAAACTTAGTGCAAATATATGGGAGTCCAGAGAGGCCACATAAAGCTTATTCTCGACCATAACCCAAATCTAAAAACACGTTAAAATTGTGCAGCAGCAGTATTCCAGTCAAACCAGTGAGTTTGGTGGTTTTGAGACGTCATCTTTCATTGAAAAAAAAACTTTTTCATTTTGCTTACGCGCATGGCTACGGCGACGCGCGCGCATACCAGAAACCGGAGACTTTTTTTTTTTGGCCTTATATATCTATTTTTGTTATCTTGTGGTTAGATACCGTAATTTCGTTGGTCGAGAGTGGCCATCTGTCTAAGTCTATAAAATGCATGTACAATGGCTAACCTCACATACAATGCCTGTTACATGCGTGCGTGTACAACTTGCACTTGCACGCAGGACTGAGCTGCATGCAATATACATGCGCAGCCACGCTCAGTCTCATGGCAGGAAAGCCTGCAGTTATCAAGAGTTACACCACACTGATTTCATTTATGTTTTTGCACAGTATGTTCCACCCATTTATCGTTTTGAATTATTGGCACGATATAACAAAATAATTGTTGATTGCTGTGCTATGGGATATGCCATGTTTAACCCCTCGGAGCGCACAGCACCAGACGCGGAGCGCACAGCACCCGAGGCGAAGCGCCCTCGGGTGTTGAAAACGTCATATCCCACATCACGTCAGTCAATAATTGTGAAATATTATAATCATTGCCATTCTCTCCTTTGTCGTCTCTTCATGATATGAATCATGATGTAGCTGACAACTGTCAAGACATCATTTGTGGAAAATGTCCCACTGAGGTTTGTAAAATGTGCAGTATACATACACTACACAGTTGGCTTCTAAAGTGTACTTCCATTACTTCCTTCTTGTCTGGTTTGCGTCCTTGGTTCTCAGCATGTGGGTGTGGGATAACTATTGCTTCTCTGTGTAGTAATCTGACCATACCCTGAGTGATATTGACAGTCATGTACTACTGTCAAGTGACTGTAGACATTAGTGGTCATTGGATATTGCACTTACCCTTTGTTGATGGAGATAGTCCACTGTCTTGGTTACCACATGCATGATCTCACAGGCTTCTCTCTCAGACAGACATTTCTTCTTGAGGATTTTGTCTAGTAGCTCACCACCTTTCATCAATTCCATCACCATGTACACATTCTGACCGTCATCATACACCTGATATTACAATCAATCAATTAAACATTGCATATTACAGTCTACTCTTGAGCTGACTCAACTGAACATAGTAAGCATTGACTTCAAGCTGTAGACAGCACTAGGCTCTCCTGCGATAACTTGAATCATGAGTTTCTACATGTAATATCACACTCCAATCCATCAAAGTGCATACATTTTGGGGAGTGAGTACATGTATGCATGAATGAAAGCCCTATATGAAGACTCCTACTAATTATCAACAACCAGGAGGATGTATTGGTAAAAATACCATGCACAACCCCTTCTTCATGTAAGGAATAATGAGACACTTCCTTCAAAAGTCTGTGCATGAAATTAATTAACAAAAAAGAATAAGTTAATCAATTTAGTTTTGGTCCAAGACTCCTGACTTACGGAAACAGCTTATGCCCTTCGTGCATGAACATCAGATGGCACTGGTTGACACACTGCATGCGCGTACTCTTTGGTGCGCATACGGCGTGAAGTACGCACCACTAATTTGATTCTGAATGTGCAATAACCAGTAGCATCTTGGCATGAGCGTCAGATGTCATCAGCCATGCATTCCAATGTCCCTCCCAGTGGTCTCCCCCAACTCTCACTTTGTAACCATTGAGGGGGTACTTGTGCACTGAGTCCATTGCTCGCTTTAATGAAATATTATTCATTTGAAACACTGATGTTGCAGTGTGTTGTATACATAGAGCTATATTAAATTACTAGAGCGCTGACTCGATGTACAAAGTAATGCCTGCTGGGCGCATCCATGTTTGTGCACAAACCTATGGGAAAACTCGAAATTTTGAACGGCTTTTGTACGGCTATTTGCATATCTGCGTTTGTATTCCATACCGGTGCCTCATCGAAGCCAATACGCCCAAAACCTAAACGCACGATCAGCAAATGAGCGTTTCAGTTTGACGTGTGTGCGTCCCTGCCCTCCGCTGCAGATGCTTTTCGCCGTGACATTTTTTGAACCGTCATGATGCGCTTAAGTTGTTTGCGTACATTCTACTTGCGCGTTGCATTTAGAGTACACTTTTAAAATTCAATCCATCTATTTTAATTGTGTTCCACAAACACGCACATAAATTCAAAATGTCTGCACCCAGAGCGGCTTCAAAGCGTCTCCACGCGCAAGAATGAAGAGTTAGCGCTCTAGTAATTTAATATAGCTCTATGGTTGTATACCACAGAAACAAATATGTATGTGGTTGTTTTGCCTGGCAGTATGAGCGATGGCAGCACTAGGCATGATATCACATGATTGAGACAGAGTAAAGGCTGGTTCATACTTCATGCGAATGAGAATGAGAAGTGAATTTCACATCATGAAACACTTGCTGTGAAATTTGCCAGAGTTGAAATGTGTTCAATCTTTTGAAAATTTGTAGCACGACAACTTGACCCGACGTCACAAATTCACATTCGTGTTCACATTCGTGTTCACTTTGGCACTCGATTTCTCACCGAGTATGAACCAGTCTTTAAGATCAGGAATCTTACATCTCTTAATGTGATGATATTAGGATGATGCCCATATCTCAACATGACTTCTATCTCTTCCTGTACATCCTTCTTGCCTTTCTTGATAATCTTGACAGCATATTGTTGGCCTGAAGATTTATGCAGGCAACGTAGACACTTGGAGAAAGACCCTAGACCAATGACCTGTAATAGTCACAACATTGTACACACACATTAGATGCATTTCACTCAGACAAAAACCTCTCCTTATCATGCCTCATGCTTCAAGTATATGAAAGGCTCATGAAATACAATTTGTGTAAATTCAAATACAATGTTAAAATACATCTTTGTGTCCATATTTATCATGCATAATACATATTTGTATTCTAAGCATGTTTCAGGATTTATTGCTGCTTATAAAAACCTTCCATATTCATTGGCAAAACATTGATGTTGGGTGCAAAGGATTGCCATAGTCTTTGCTTCTTCCTCGGGTTATTTCTCAATTAATAAAAACAACCTGCACTGAGTACATCACAGCCTGTCAAAAATCCAAGTGAGTGTACCAGCAGCCTGATACTTGATGATCTGTCTAGTGATGTGACTTGAATGACTTGTGACTGCCTTGATTACACATACCAACTACTGCATCAGCTACATTACGAGCCCATAATTTGTATTGAAAATCCATGATCAATAACGTGAGTGTGTAAATTTTGTTTTAAGGTGAGTAGTAGCAGGACGTTTAAATCTTATTTGAAAAGCATCCCCCAAATACGGACAATCTCTGATAATTTTGACCAAAACATCTTAAACTTATGACACAGTGACTTGCTTTTGCACTGACTGCATTTTTTTCGTCGGAACGTTTCAGAGTTTCTGGAGATGGAAGCTGCAGAAAAACATGGAATGGTGTCATTTTGGACTTCAATCAGATGTAAGGGTCAGACAAAAGTACTTACATCTTGCAGTTCATATTCCTCTGCGATACTTGTCACTCTCGCATGCTTGACTGGAAGCTGTGAATGATACAAAGGAAGAACAACCATAGTCTTACAGGAATTCAGCTGCAAACATTTGAGCATTTTATTTCCATTACTTAAGGCTTTCCATAGCCCTTGTGTGTTTTGAAACCATCACGTTATTTTAATATTCATGAGCAAACAAAGTGATGTTGTGTCTCAGGCAGACGCTTCAGTGTCACAGCTGATTGGGCACAAAGGGTTGCCAACATCTTTTCACTTAGATAAATATCCTGTTTTGTGTTGACTTGTTGATTTACTACAGGGCAATTTGATGAGCAAATTTTAGTACCACAACGGAGTCCTTTTAAGTTTCTTTTTGGTACAGAGAATACATAACATAACATGAATGCCTGAAGTGACATTACAACACCCTACATGTCAAGAAAACAAAAAAGCTCTCTGAGTTTGTTATCACCGATGAATGGGCAAATATTTCTGAAACCAAAACATCATCAAAAGCATTGGGAACTGCCTTATCAACATTCATGTGAAATAAACATATGTCCCTATTTGCTCTGTGCATATATGTGCCCAGAGTACTACAATGATAACATGCCAACATACTGTTTCTTTTGCAGGTTGTGTATGTGTATTATTAGTAGCTGCCTTCATTTCATCTTCTTGCAACAGGACAGGAGCAATGTAGCTGAATCCTCTGAACAGCTGATGGGCACTTGCACTGGGGGGTAGGCCAGGGGAGTCTGCAGAAACAATGACCCATAATCATCAAGACTTTGGTTAGGACAAAATTATTCCCCCCATGTCAATTCCTCTTACAAATACAACAATCCCACTGGGCCAGCAACGTGCTTCAATAGAGAAGATATATGGAAGAAATTTTATGGAACCTTCAAGACTGGGCCAATTCATCCCTTATTTTCCACTAATTTTGCCTGTTTTAAAGACATACACACGTACTTTCCACGTTTTTAACATATTTGGAGATTAATTGGTGTATACTTGATCAATTAGAACATGACAACATTTGGATTATCAAGACAGGATACAAGTAATTATGAACAAATGTTCAGATTCATTGAAACTTTCAGAGATCAAACTGACCCTTGGAAAAACTTTAACCCAAATAGTTCGTGGTCTGGACTCTGAGGCCAAGCCCCTTCATCACAAATTCAAGGGTATAGCATCAAGATTTAGGAATTTCAATAGGATTAAAAAGCCATTATGGGAACCCAGTTCTGTCAATTACACTTTTTTTTTTAATCTACATATCCAATAATTGAAAGTTCCAAGTACAAGTATTAGGTGTTACTAATTCAAGGCACCCCCCCCCCAACCTCCTAGGGGAAGGGGGCCTTTATCTTCAGTTTGTTTAGCCATTTTGCTAGGAAGCTACTAGAAACAAGCAGTCCTAACATGGCAATAGACCTTGACATGTGTGTCATGTCACCATGTCCATAACCAATGCAAGGAAATGAATAATTGACAGTGTGTAGTAAGGAGTTCTGAGCAACACCACCTATCACCTGTCATGACAATGAATACCATCCGCTCTGGCCAGCCTCCGCTCATTCTGTCTAGCCACCCTACTCACTGCTAATCACAACAATTTCCTACATGTGTCACTCTGCTAACCTCACATCCTCGCTCACTCTAGTGCCTACCAAATCAACTTATGCAACAGCCGCATGAAAATAGTGCATTGCAAAGTACAAATGTATATTACAGAACTCTCGGGTTGGATTTAGGTCGGCAAATTGAAGAAAATTCACTTCCACTGAAATTTTGCAATCAAATATTATCATCTGGATTTTTATACTGTGTCAAGAATATCATCTGATATGCTTGATCATACAATATGGTAATAAGCATATTTGTTGATATCAGAGATAATTCAGAGTTACGGTGTAGCCACAAGATCACACATTAAATGAGAAACCACAGGCCTGTTCAACTGTTTCAAACTTGCTTAGATGAGCTGCTTAGTCTCGAGTTGGGGAGAGGCTAACAGTAACAGTTTGGAAATCATCACGTCAATCACAGCTTTTGCACGTGATCGTCAGAAAAAAACATCAGTTTCCTGATATGACAGGATACATGTATGTACATATTATTTTTTATTATTTACTATTATTATTTATTTTGCCTTTAAAAACAACAACAAATATAAAGCAATAACAGAGAGAGAGAGAGAAAAAAAATACAATTCAATACAAACACTACTCAGAAGGGACATACATGTAAGTAATACAAGAAAAACAAAATAACAGGACAAAACTAAACCCGCATGGGCAAGGGCTGGCAAAAGCAACAAGAATCACTATAGTCCTTAGACTTGCCTGCTAGCCCTCATGCAGGCAAAGGAAACGTAAAACATTTATATAAATATATATATATAATTATTTGTATCCAATGATAATATACAAATAATTATATATAAACAAATAATAAGTTTTTATACACAAATAATACAAATAATTATTTGTATATAAAAACATTAACATCTGGGCTTAGCAAGTCTATTTATCTATTTATATACAAGTAATAATTTGTATATACAAATAATAATAACTTTTTATATACAAATAATTATTTGTATATAAAAACATTAACATCTGGGATTAGCAAGTCTATTTTAATCACACCGCAGCAAAAGTGTAACTGAGTGAACACAATTACACATTTAAAAGTAGAATGGCAGACAAATTAGCTTGACCTTTCTCTCTAAACAAGCTGGTCAACCTGTACCTTTTGGGGTTCTGGATGTAAACTCTGTATCAAAGTAGAAGGTATCATCAGCATTAGACACAGCCGGCTTGAAAGGTGGTGAAATCTCTTTCCTCAATAGTTTCTGAAATCATAACAAACATGTCCAGATGATCAATACGGTATGGTGGATAGCTCTTTGATCAGAAGGATACACAGCCTCAAAGTTCATCTCAGGTAAACTGAATGCTTAAAAGTTCCAGAACTTATAAACATTTTTGATTGAACAAGTTCACAAAAAACCACCCCTAACAGGGCTTATAAAATAACACTGCATCTAGCATATCAATTTATGTTGTTTTATGAGATATTTTCCACTTGAAAAGTTACACACTCTACCTAATTTTTATCCCCTCCAAAATTAACCGGGCGGTTTTGGAGGATTTTGGATTGAGGTTGTATGCCAAAAATGTGTCAGTTGATTTTAGAGGATAGATTGTGTCAAGGTCATCAAATGTACATGTAGAGTGCGTTCTGTTCAGCCTTGTATAATTGAGGCTCACATTATACAGGATACCATTCGCACTGCTTCTGGATATCATTGGCACTGCCTCACCACATTAACAGTGATTGTTGGAGGATTTGAAGAATTGAGGCAGTGGTCCACCCCTCCAATGAACTAATGCAAGAAATAACGGATGGTGTAAGGATTTTACATGACAGCATTTGGCGAATTTTGCAGGACTGACGAAATTTTGTTGCCACGGTGTTTGTTGTTAATGATTTTTAGGATGATTGTGGTGGTTGATGTCAAGATTATAACAGAAGCAGCAGGATGGTAGTGGTTGGTGTGGTTGTATTGGTCATAATGGTGTGGGCTTCAATGATACTTCTTATGGTGATTTCTGTTGTTTTCCTGTATTTTACAAGGTTATGGTTTCTATGCTTCAAAACAACCTGAAATGAGTTTGCATGGCATGTGAGACTCCCAAAAGACTTAATTAAAGGACCCTTTCATATGGAACACATTGTTCTGGGCTCTCAAATGCGTTTCCCACACAATGACAATAGTTGGAAAGATTATGTTAAGGAGAATACACGAGAAAGTGTGGATTCGTAATTTAAGAATTCACGAGGCACAAAGCAATGGTTTAATAAGGAGTAGACTAGTGCACACAGATATACCTTGAAGATTTGCAGTATTTATGTAATTATCGCACGAAGACATTTTAGGATACAACATTTTGGTCCTCAAAAATAAAGCCATTGGAGTGCTAGGCTTGATACCAGGCATGGAAATACACAGGACTGTTCCTTCATTGTTGTAGGAACTGATTTCCCACAGTGACTTCTCACTTGCTTGGTGTGCATTATATGGGCACCAGTCTGATGTGGACAGCTTGGGCTCATCATTTAATGGCTTTATTTACTGCTTGAAACACATTTAGCAAAATATGGCAGCTGCGTCAGATGTTAACAAACAGGATTTTCCAACATGTTCTTAATAAAAGACGTAACATGGATTTTTATCGACACAGACCTTTGACATACATTACATGTAGACATTTGACAAACATTACATGTAAGGTTGGTGAACAATCTAAAACACAAAATATTGGCAATTTCCAGATGATCATTACAGTCCAACCATTGAGAGTCTAACCATATTGATCCAGGGCAACACAAATCAGAGCTGATTAAGCACAAAATTTGCTTGCACAAAAAAACCTTGTTAAGTAAAATCAGGTTACCGGCCAAAAATCCATGCGTTGTTACGCTAAGTAAATAATAGCTGAATACCTGTCACAAGCAGTGTACATCGCATGAAGTTCTGGCCGGTAACCTGATTATATATTAAGCAAGGTTTTTTGGTGCTTAAGCAAATTTGGTGCTTAAGCAGCTCTGTGAAATTGGCCCCAGCTGGGCTTAAGACTAGCAAAGAGCACACAGATTCCTTTTTGAAATATGGCAGGCACATTAGGGTGGGTGTTATTTGGATTGGCTAAATACAACAGTGCCAAATGATTCATACAAGAGTTTAGCCAAACCACATAGCATTCTCTGACACGTCCTGGTGTAGTATTATCAAATCAATGATTCTATTTGTAAGTAAACAAAGTTACTACCCATAAAATCAATACATTCTTGGCTAATTCATTGCAAATTAGAAACACAAAGGGTAAATGTACTATATGTGCCCACAGGTAAAATAGTTTCCTCACTAGCCAAACGGAGTTCACTGTATGTATATTTACATGTAACAAGCCAATTAAATATTTTGGCAAGTTCTATTTTGTTAAGTTTGTGTCAACATACTTTGATGAGACAGTGTTTCATCCAGTGACTTATCCACCTGTCTTTGGATGTGTCCAACTTGACTAGGGTGGGCACTTTGGATAACAAACGGTATCAAATGAGAGGCTTCACTGGTGTGCATGCAAAGATGCTCAGGGCTTATTCACAGTTTGATGGAATCATGGAGCTATATAGCTCCATGATGGAATTTAGTCATGTATAAATGTGCGAACCACTTCCTGCACACAGCTTATTATACTTTAAATGTATGCAATTATTTTTCCTTCACAACACAAGTGCAAACAACCCAAATCCAACATAAAACTTTTTGTCTTTGCAATGTTCCTTCACATCTTTTGCCCATTGACTTATATACATGGAGAATATTCAACAACTTAATGTTAATTTAAATTTCGGTATAAGGACAAGTGTCACATCCATATCATCATAACAAACAAACACTTGTCAAGCATGTACAATGCAGATGGTAGACGTTTACATCCTCTTTAGAAGTAATTGGATTATCCAGTAATTCTGTTAGATGGCATTTTATCACTGACCTTTCAGTTCAGCGTTACCCTGGGTGTACAGTTGCATTTGCCAAAGACTTTCTCAATGTACATGTTTATTCATATTTTTGCAGCAAGAGCTAAAATTTCTTTGAGTAAAGCCAACATCTTTGGTGTCACACCTATACTCACCTCAAAGTCAATGTGTGCAAAGAAGGCATGTTTTTTAATGTCTTCCACACCGTTTTCTGCTGCCCCTAGCCGATTGGCCGGGTTTCTCTTGAACAGTTGTCGGAGAAGACTCTGAGCCTCAGGGCTCAGGAACTGTGGCATACCCAACTTGGCTCTGAAATGAACAAGATTATATAGCACCGGCTTATTATATTATGCACATATTTGTCTTTCATACCTCCAGCAGTCTGGGGTGATTTTATTGGCTGAGAGCCCATTAATTGAGGTACATGTACAAACATGCCGTTTAACGTGCAGAAATTTATGATTGTTAGGATGTGTTTGGCACACACACAAATTTTAAATTGCGCCAAAGCACACATTAAACAGCTTTGTATTTTCTTGCATATATCTTTATTTATTAGTAAATCAAAACATAAACGGCATATAATCCCTACTCTTCTTAAAATGATATTTATCTAATTGCTGACAAAAATCTTAATTTTGATTGTAAAAATTACATAATTTGACACTCTGCATCTTGTGTGGTCTTCCCAAATATTGTTTTCATTGTGTGGTATGTGTATAGACATACGTTCCTACCTTCTGAATATTTTAAATGCCTTGATGTGTGACTTATAAATCCAAAATGTAACTACATGCCGCCTATTACTTATCATTGGTGTATATTTTGTTAGATGCTCACTGGAAAGCTCAGAAATTGAGCAATTTCACTGAAATTTATTTTCAAAGATGCCATGCACAAAAAACACAAACAGTCAAACAGTAAGGCATTATTTTGAAAAGAGTTGATTCAATTTTAAATTGTTTAAAAACCTCGGTTTAAAGAGTGAAAGACGCCTGCACAGTTTAATTAACATACATGCACAACTCTAGACCTCTTCATTCCCCCCCCAACCAATCCCTAAAACAGAAAACCTGATCCACATACATGTAACATGTATACAAGTATCAATGTACAATGTATGGCACAAGGGACTGCGTTGCATGTGAATCAACACAACCAATTATGGTTATTTCATCATACTAACAGCCAGACTGATTGATAAAGTCATTATTAGTACAAGAGAAAAAACGTTTTATTCGTTTGAATGTAATTGAAGGTTGGATGTATACAATCTCAATTTTACCTGAGCTTATTGTTAAAAAACTATGTTCATGTACAGAAGAGAAGATTTTCATCTACATTGTGCCATTTTGAACTCCCCAAATGATAATTCTCGGGTAATTGGGTTACCTTTATGACTTACAGTACTGTCAGCACTCTTGCTTGTATTGATCATATTTCACTTGACTACAAGCAATGGTTAACGCTCTCACTAGCATTGATAAATCCAACCACGTCAGTCTTGTCTGTGCCATCATCGAGTGTTTTATGAATGAATATGGAGTGCCACGTTGTCAGTTTGTGGGGGTACTCTGACACTCTGAATTCTGCTCTCAATCCTCAAGTATCCAACATCAGTTAATGTCAACTACTTTTTCAATGTTTGTCATTCATTCTTCAATTAAGCAATCACGTATATTCATAACTCTTCCTATTACCCAATCAGGAAAAGTGAGGCCTGAATCACAGACAAGGCATCAGTATTTTTATGAAGAGCTAGAAATAAAACCTTCCCCAACCTCTGGTACATGTAGGCATTTCAATATTGTGAAACAATATCCTGAGAAACACTTGTTTACCATCTAGTAAAAGTAGTAAAAAGAAATCAGTACATTGCATACTTGCAGAAAACGATAAGCTTAAGCTGGATAAGCTTAAGCTAGTGGGTATTTTGTTGAAGTATATGTGAAATTGCGGTATAATGTTACAGGCCCTAAGCCACATTTATTTATCGGATCAAGTCAGGCTGATATAATATTGGATAGGTTTTGGGGGGATACAAAAATGTATTGCACAAACTATAACAACATTGCCCGAGTCAAATGAGTCAAATTAGCCTGTGCATTATACAATCTTGTATCCTCCTCAAAGCCATGCAATATTATACAATTGTCCCTCTTTTTACACAGTATTTTATTCATATTAAAGGGAATGTACATCATTGGCTTTCGCTGTAATTTTCAGAAATGAAGTAGTTGAGGGGTTAGTATAATAGATCAAAATATTGTTACACTGACATGTTTGAAGTTTTGTGTCCGAAAATGCTGGAAAACCAAGAAAAACAAAAATGTTCAAGTAGTCTGGTTCCCTGACTGCACTAAAGATGAAATGGATCAATTTATAGATGCCGGAAAATTGTAAGGTAAGGGAACCAATCTAGCTGGCCTGCACCCATTCACAAACATGTAACCAATAGCAAACACAATTTGGACTGAAACAAATGGTAAATATGGAGCAGTAGTTGAAAAAATAGTTAGGTTTTTCCAACGGTGGTCGGCCGACCACCACTGGAAATGTATACAAAAAATACAATTTTCTTGAAAATGACTTCACACCAGGTGCCATAATTTTACAGAATGCTTTAGACTGTCATTCACCAACGTCCTAGTAAGGTATTTCGTAAAAACTTGGTAGTTTTATTTTTTCGATGTTTGCAAATGTTGTATTTTCCCTTTAAGTTTAATTTTTGAGCTAACAGCCACATTGTCTCAGACTATTGGCTGAAATTTGAGCACCTTTTTTCCTTTAACAAAATTGTTATTTTAAACTTAATGAACTTTGGATTTATTCCCATTGCCGTGATGCGTTGTGAAACTTAAAAAAGTGCCTTGATGTCTTACATTTTGACTAAATTCAAGGTAGAAAGTGCAGTCCCTCTCTGAGGTCATTGAGTGGCGGCATGCAATGACATGAATAACATCAATACTGACATATGCAATCAATTCACTATTTAGTGTCCAGCCACAGTGTGCATGTGCTTCTTGTGCCACACAAACCTTTTTTTGTGCATATGGTATACCAGCAAATTGTTCACATTCCTTTTTATCAATTCAGGATTCCGAACCCCCATCCTTGATTTTGAAAAAAAAGGGGGGGGGGAGGAAATTCCCCCCACATACATTTTCTGATGAGAGTGTTGCCCAAGACTTTTATGCCCATGTACCCTGATAAATGTTTCCAACTCATACTCACACTACAATGAAACTGTTTGACTACAACACTGTCAAACCAAATAAATGAACTGGACACGGTCCAAATAAACACACATTGAATTCCTGTTAGCTATTTCTGTAATAAATGTACTGACTTGCACTTACTTGAGGATCATGGCCATTGTTTCCTTCCTGTGTTGACCCTGGAATGGTAATGCACCTGTAAGCATCTCAAACTGGAAGAAAAACAATTTAAGCATCAACCATCACATGACAAGCAGGCACATGGGGTCATCTGCCTTAGTACCAGCATTAACAAAACAACTCCTGAAATGCAAACTCTGCTGATTTTGGTCAAGATATTTGACATACATAGGGAGAATGGCGAATGAAGACTACAAAAACAACAAGACATGTAGCATGCAGGATTTGTTATACAGCTTGTCCCACAATGAACCTAACAGGTGAAACCAATTAATATAGGTATATTGCAAGTGGGTTTTGGACTATTTTCAAATTACCTCTTAAAGTCAGATAACCAATCTACCACACAAATGTTATTTCATTCCAATTGATGCATTGGAACAAATGCTATGCTTCATCAAACTCAAGGGTTGAAAATCATCTTGGGCCACTTTCCTTGAAAGTGAGAAAGCACAGTTAGAGAAACACACAAAGGATGGTTCAAAAGTGTTAGTGCAGCTTGTCAGTTTATCGGTTGGGCAAAGGTTTTTTTTGAAGACCAGGAGATATTAATAAAAAAAAGTGGCCCAAGTGGTTTTTCAAGTCCCGTATTGTGATTGCTGTGTCTTTTGAACAAAACATCCTAATGAAACCAACAAAAAAGCATTTGGAAGACAAATTATTCTACTCAGCAAAACATTCGACACGATTTTGAATACAACCCCCACTTTTCTGAAAACTTGCCCAATCCGACTGTTAGGTTTTTTGTGGGACAACCTGTATTAATGTTCATAAAGACATACTGGTACAATGGTGTTTAGACATCATGAATTGAGCATGAACAATAATGTTTAAATGTTTGTGACCAGTAAACATTGCATGGACTGAATCGCTATACATGTACGTATGTCATAACCTTCGCACAAATAGTGTGGTCTGAATTTCATTTAGAAACTTAGTACTTTTTCTCCTTTTTTTTAAAGATGGATTGAAGGATTTTGTTTCATTTTTTATTAATGAAATCAATTTGTTGGGTACGATTTATCTCCCAAAGATATCAATGCTGATATTGAAGTGGATTTGAGTGAGGACTGTAAAAACTTAGATTTTAAAAGAGCATAATATGAATGAACAGAAAGTTGAAGTTATTCTCATTTTTATATTTCAGATATACCATTAGAACTCCGAATGACCACCAGTCAGCTGCTGTTGTATGGCCTCTACGGTTCACCACCTCTGGAGCCATGTATTCTACAGTGCCACAGAATGAATAGGTCTTGCTGTTATCTACAGACTCTTTGCTGAGACCAAAATCTGTCAGCTTGATGTGGCCTGATGCATCTAGCAAAATACTACAAGGAAAGGAAAGTGATGTGAATCAGGCAAATTGTAAACTTAGTGAAAGCATATGACAAAAGTGAAATGATTTTGCTGACAAGAACTCATATTTTGCGGGGGAAACAACAATGGAGGTTGCTACACACCCTTCCCTCACACTGTCTCTAGCTAGCAACGCACATGTATGAATTTAGATTGGCAAAAAAAGACAAATTAAAAAGTGTTAATAGCTGGCTAATACGGTATACATTCAGTAGGTTTAAGGTATAATATAACAAATACCAGTTCATTACTGTGATATAAAAATAATTAAAATCAAGTACATTATACATACCATTACATGTAAGTTTAAAGAAAGAAGGACAAGCAAAATAACAGTGACCTTTAGTCCATTCTACATCATTTTTTGTAGAACCTTTTGAGGTGGACAACTGTACAATTAACTCAGCCAATTCCCCCAGTCCAACATCCGGTAAAAAATGAAGTCAACAATTGCAAGGCAGAGAATTCAACCAAACGGTGGCTGCCTGCTGGATTGGATTACACACACGCTCATATCCATCCATCAAACCAATTGATTCATCTCACAATAGTCAAGAGAAAGTTGTGCCTGATTGCAACGGGGTATCAAATGCCCTAAATGAAGTATGTCCAAAATAATGACAAAATGAAAAATAGGGTCCAAAGATCCACTTTAGAATGCCCAAGGTCTAAGATTTATAGCTGATACATGTACATCGTATCTCTGATCAATACAATTATACATGTACTCCACAATACTCTCAAACAGGCCAAATAAATTCAATTATATCCAATGGGATATATTGTACCAACACATGTGCACATATATATCCATTGGACCTTCTTTCGACAACATTTTCATGACCCTTTTATTTATATCAACAATATTGCCAACTCTTTGAAAATGTTTGAGGGGTACATTGCAATATAACACCCTAATAAAATAAAAGGTGTCACTGAGATAACACTACAACATGTCTAAACCCACACTTGTGGCCTTTCTCTATGGTCTGATCAAGCATACAAGAACCATGTCTGGGTGAATCTTTTGGTGGTACCATTTTCCTTTTAAAGAATTTACAAGTTATTTTGGAAAGAATGTTGCAACCGGACGCCACTTTTTTCTTCATACATGTGTCTCATCTCAACAAAGGTCAGTCATTGCAAAAAATGTCAAAAAGACATGAATCTGGGACTGAGAACTATTTCCAATGTGAAACATTTTTCAATTTTGTGAGGAAAATACTTAGAAAATTTTCTTGACTCTCCATAGACTTTGTACACAACCGCTGAAAAGGCGTCTGGATACTATATTCTTTCCGTTAATTTTTTTCACATGAAGTATAAAGTCCATTGTTATGCAATATGGTTCATTTAAAAAGTTTCAGTTTGTGATAGTGTCTCCCCTATGGTGTCATCCTAAAACAAAACCTAGTAGTGTTGATAATATTCTGACCTTGATCATCAATAAGGTCCACGCAATTATCAAAAAGTCCTTAACTTTTAATCAGTTATTTTACTGAACAAAAAAGAGAACACCAAAATACATGCAACCGCTGATGAGTGTCCCTGCCATAAATCACCATGTCATAGGTGTGATACACACTACATGTAGTCACGTACTATCCATCTGATTATTCTCAATGCTTCACACATGCACACATCGTTCTCATCACCATCAGTGTCATGGCTAAATGCACATGTGCCTGACAAGAATACCACTTGCATCATTACAGTCAGAACTAATACACGAATCACACCTAATTTCTGTACCTTCCAAATGACATGCTGAACAAATAAATTGAGGTAACCTACATCCAAACATCTGCTTGGATGATAAGTGGTGTACCTGTAGTTGCTTCGCTTACTTTTCTGGTTTGAGATCTCTGTAGATAATTCCTAGGCTGTGTAAGTGATCTAAGGCCAGGGCTAGCTCAGCAAGGTAAAGCTTGACATCATCCTCTGTGAACATCACCTAATGAAGAAAGAAACAATGAAATAACATGGTTTTAAGAGCAACACAACAATATGGTACCATATTTCAATGAGGGTGCTGCTCAAAGTGGATGATCATACAAACAATCAGACCATATACATGTATGATGTTTTCAGGGAGGCACATGTGCAAAATTTCCCAAAAGGCACTCTTTACAACCGCTAGTTCAAAAAGGCACTCATTTTTTGGGAAAAAGGCCACTTGTTTAAAAAACAAAACACTTCTTTGAAACAAAAGGGCACTTGTTTAAAAAAAATGAGTGCCTTTTTGAACTAGCGGGTGTAAAGAGTGCCTTTTTGGGAATATTGTCATTGATATTGCTTGGAAAGGAAAAGACAAAAAACTGGAAGGAGTGAACTCAATGAAAAACATGTCCAGCTCTAATGGTTAAGATGTCGTTAAGCACACATACTTGTACATTGTACATGTATTGGAATGCATTCCTCTCATTGCAATATGACAACACCAACACTCCAAATCCAGTATACTGTTTCTTTACAGCATTCCAATCACCTGACAGCAACTTCTGGTGAATTCTTTCATGACAAATCCTCATGTGACTCTGCCACATAATGTGCGATGTGTATCCTATACATGTACATTGTATGTCAAAACTGTAGCACATCTATACTACAATCACGAAAATAATCGGAGGGCGCTGCCATTTTCCCGACCGGTCTCCCGTCCCGCCCGCGCCCGTTGGCCGCGGGGGGTGCGGAACGGGGCCCGACTATTTCCACCCTATTTCCCATAATTCCCTTCCCCATTGGGCCGCGCCGGCCATCTTGCGTATGGGCCGGTGTCACATGAAAATTCGACTCCTATGAAAATCGGACCCCTATTTCCCTATTATTTATTGGTTGATCCCTCGCACGTGACAGGTCACTCTCCCGAAATGATCCTAAAAATAGCATAGTATCGTTCGCACCTGACAGGTCACTATCCCGAAATGATCCTAAAAATAGCACAGTATCGTACTCACGCGTGCGCAGTACTACCAATGAGTCCACATTTCATGGAGTCGGATATTCACGCTACACCTGTCGTGCCACGTATACGTACGTATACGTTCGTATAGAGGAGCATGCGCTGCAGCGCATGCAACGGTATTCCATGCAACATGCAAAGCTAAAGGCATGGTTGCCCCACGCGCGAAGCGCGGCATCCCGCTAGTGTAAAGTATACCGGTAATAACTGCATCCTTACCATACATGCCATGAGCCCTGGGCCTTTTGGGGGGTAATCATCCTTACTCTCAGCTGAGAAGCTATATTGTGAAGGACGTGGTTACCATGTAGTCGAGCCTAAGGCATGAAAAGGCACCTCAGGTTGCCACCATATGACCCATGTACATGTCTGACCATGGAGCACAGCCAGAGATCAAAAGTGTTGATTTTTGCAGAGGGAGGAAAACTAGAGAGCCCAGAGGAAAACCGGAGAGCCCGGAAAAAATCCTCTTGGCACAGGATCAGAATCAATGTACATTCTACTCACATATGGTCCGTGCCGGGAATCGAACCCAGACCACATTGGAGAGAGGCGAGCACTTTACGCACTACCCACCCATGATTACTGTGCATACATGTACTACCACAGTGGAGTACATACATACATGTACATCAGAGTATGAGTGTACATGTATACATGTATGTCATAACTGGGGTTATGCTTTTCCTTATACATTTTCCCCCAGTGTTTTTCTGTCATTTTTAGATTAAGCATGATTGTTGTCATTCCTTCCTTACTACCCGCATATGTAAAGTAAGTATGAAAACATTAAATATTTCTAGTTGTGCATTTTCTTTAATATACAGGTATGGCATATACATGTAAAGGTCTGTGTACTGCAGCTGTGTGCCTTTGACTGTATGGCATGTATGGGTAAAACCATGCAAGACTCTTGTCAGCTACTTGTCAACCAAATCCATTCCTGTGCAGACAGTTGGCACACTTCTCAAACTGTCAAGTGTCCAACATTGAGAAATTATGTCCTGCATAATTTCTGTGGGTCAAAATTAAACAAGAGCAGAAGCACACAGGAATGGTCACAATTATCAAATTGTTAAATTCAATGGGATAGTGGCTTTAAATGGACAAAAACTAACAAAGACCTTTCCAATTCAACATGGTCTACCGGTATTTGAAAGTTGACACTTGATGGATACATGAAGGGATGTATGGTAGGCAACGGAAGCATTGATAAGGAAACCTGACGTATCTGTGACATCCTCAGGATACAGGAAACACCTCCACAATAACTTGAATCAACTTGACATTACAACTAACAAGCTACATGTATACTATAGTAGACCAGTGCTATTCATTTCAGCCTGAATGTGGTTTGTTCCGAGGGGCTGTGGTCTGTAGCTATTTTTAACTGTGGCTTATTCATGTCCAAAAGATGAGCCACCGACAGACTTGAACAAAATGCCTAGAAATAACAAACTACACATAAATCCTTTTACAGTAAATACATGTTCAACCATGTACATGAATGTGGGCATTTCCACACTAATGGGGTTCGATTTCCTACAAATTTGGGATTTGAGAGGGGGACACTGGAGGGAACAGCAAGAAATTGTGTTCGTTTTTTTCTGTACATTCATGAGGCCTCAATGATCACGTGTACAAAAAAAAGAGAGGACTTTCTCTGTACTTTAGATATTACAAAGAGGTCATCGTAAATAATTACGTAAGAAACATGGACAGAATTTTTGCTATAAATTGACAGGACACTAATTATCATGTGCATGAATTTACCCAAATGTCATCTCATTTATATTAATAACCCATTTAGGAATGCTAACAGCCAAAATAAACACGATTTTCCTGGTCTTTAAGACACTATACGTGTATACAGGGTGTATAAAAAAAGGGGAAACCTAGATGTAAATATAACTGTACCGGTATATTTAAGACTTCACAGGGTACTACAGGGTGAGTAAAAAAAAGCGGAACCCGAACCCCCCAAAATTATATTTCATATTTTAACAAATGTAGCACCAAAACCAATAATGACAGGAAAGCCACTTTCATAAGCTACTTTTAGATGAAAAAAATTACTGAAATTGCCCAATCCGCTAAACGCAATGACCCAACAAAGCCCTTAAAAAGGGCTTTGTTGAATATTTTGAACTTTAAACTGAGGTTTTATCGCTGGTGATGTTTGAAGACAATTGTGACGATGCTTCTTGAAATCGCAATTTTAGACGAAAGAGGTTTTAGAGTCATTGTGTTTAAATAGTGATATTCTTTGAACGGATTAAGCAATTTCAGCATTTTTTTTTCATCTAAAAGTAGCTTAATTGGCTTTCCAGTCATTATTACTTTTGGTGCTACATTTTTTTTTAATATGAAATACAATTTTGTGGGTTTGAGTTCTGATTTTTTTTTACTCACCCTGAGTCCTCTGTGACGTTTTAAATATACAGTAGATTGTCTTGGTAACATAGGGAGAAGAATGAAAAGGCACAATAGTTGATAAATACATTAATTGTAATTATAACTTTCTTTCAATATAAATAGTTTCTGTCCATGTTACAATATTTAAAGTTAAGCACACGTAACATTCTGAGCATACATATCTTGTAAAATTTGCCTGGAAAGTCTTAAATTCTTAGACAGCACAATCCTCAACAATGGGGTGGGAATGTACAAGTGGAAAAGAGGACTAACAACTTGATATTATTATCCTGCTTCATTTCCCAATCCCATGTCACACTTTTGTACCCCTTTAGTGGGGAAAGACCCATATCTTCTAGCACGTCTAGAGATTTGGAGGATCTTGTCCCCATTTTACCTGTATGAGTAGCAGTACAGGTGATGAGAAAAGACAAATGTAATGTAGAATTGTAGGATGTAGGAGGAAGATGACACTTGTAAATTATTGTTGTTTACTGAAATTGCAATCAAACACCTAAAGCTGTTGATTTTCTTGTTCAAACTACATGAAACTTTCTTCAATAACCATGTCACACTTCTTTAAAAAATGTCATGTTGTGGCCACATGATACAGACTATGATGAAGAACTTAAAGCAAGCCCCTCTATACAACACTGCGTGTTAATCAGTTGAAAAATGAGCGGTTTAATCAAACATTACCAATACATGAATCTGAGAGCAACAAAATGTCTCTTTGTTTGTTTAAGAATAACGAGGCTTTGCCTTGACTGCTCTGCAGGCTTCATGACCATGAAGTTTGAGAACACACATTCACATCCTTTCCGCTTTGTAGTGTAGCCTATCATTCACTGTAACCATTCAGGTGCATGCATTTTCCAGAGTGATACAATAAAATACCATCAAGGGATTACATCTAGATAGGGGATATTTAGAAAATAACCATCTTTACTTTTGTGCACATGTATGTGGTGCTAATGTGTGTATAACATAATACATCATAAGTCCCAAAGTGCTCCATCATGTTGAAAATACTCTGAAATGTAATGTTCTTTGTGTGCAATGTTGGCAAAAGTTCCACAAATCTATCTCTCAAGGAGCAACAGCTTTTAAGGAAAAAAAACCTTGCAGAGATACATGTACATGTACATGTACGGAGAAAGATTAATAATTTACATTGAGGTTTGTGTACAATAAATTATACATTGTCAGACTTACATATGCACATGTATGCTAGGACTTAACAAGTTAACTGGGATCAGTGTAATTTCCTCCTGAGCATGGAATAGCTAGTTAGGCTCCTTCCTGGCAGTATATTTCATTTTCAAATGGTAATGGGAGACAGGCAGTGATGTCACTTGAGACGTGAGCCTGTAGTATCTCAAGTGCACTGTAGCATCAAGTACAATGCAATCAGAGCACACTTCCTGCCTATCATTCACTGTACCATTCAGGTGCATGCATTTTCCACAGTGACACAATAAAATACCCCGGTACCATCAAGGGATTACATCTACTGTAGCTAGGGGATATTTAGAAAATAACCATCTTTACTTTTGTGCACATGTACATATGTATGAATACTTGTGGATGAGTATCAAATGATATTTAACAATAGTACAAATATTGACTGCTAAATTTTGAGTGGTATACATGTAGTAAACTTGCCTTCTACTCTATGATCAGCAATGGAGGCTAGTTTTATTGTAGCATGAGCTGAAGCAGTCAATAACTGTTTTATAATGCCTTACCCACAGAATGAGCTTCTTTTTTCTCTCTGATACCAAAATCTTATACAAATTTCAAGTTGAAACTCGATGAACATTTATTACACTTTTATAAATGTTCCTTCACGAACAGTTTGTACACCTCTGTATACATGCATATATGGCAAGGAACTGTTCTATGCTGTATTTAACCAGTTCGTGTCAGATGACGTGTATACACGCAAAGGTTTTGCGTTATGTTGAACAGATAAACACGCAACACACTGTCAGCTCGCAGCAAGCGAGGCCGGAAATATCAGGGATGCTACCTGCAGATGACGGGCTGAACCCGAGGTTCATGAAAAACAATCCCGCTCCTGGGTCCGGTCGATGTAAAAATATTCCCGGCGCGAACTGGTTAACTCTATAGTGCCGAACAATTTGAGCAATGCACACTTCTGTAATATGCGCAGACCTGAAGTTCTATTTTGTTATATTTGGACAGTACCGGTTCATGTACTTTTCAACTGTGCATGGTAAAATGATACAAATAATGAAGACCATGTGACATGCTCTCGGCCAATCAAGAGTCAGATTGCCTGTATGTGGGTGAGGTGTTATGATAACGTTGACAGTATAGGTATGGAGAATCATTAATTAATGCCGATACATGTACAATGTATTTCTCATCATGTCTACTTTGTTCCATGCCTATGGCAAATGTTTTCCAAATATGTACATATGTATACACAGCTGAATATTATGGAATACAGAGGAACAGAGTCCAGTGTACAAGCCAATAAATTCACTAGTATTAATCACTCATTAAGAATGTACATGTATGTACAGTAAGAAGTATATTCACATGTACTTGAACTGTTCTTGACACGCTTACGGTACGTGTAGGATCTCATGCAGCAATTATGATAGAAATGAGATTTGACTGAACCACAGATTGAGGGAAGACTCTCTGAATGGAATGCAAGCAATGAGTCAAGGCCATGTCAAGTACAGGTGCAATGTACATGTGCAGACTGCAGAGTCTGTAATTTGGAATATGAGGGAACAAAATGAAAAACTGAATACATTATTCAACAGTATTCATTTAATTTGATCTTTGTTCAAAGAACTGAAAAATCTTGAGTTGGCAGAACATGTGCACCTGTTCCACAATGCACATGTTCCACAATGTGCTTGATCAGCTCTTTCTACAAAGATGCACATTTGTACATTTGTATATCTCTTCATATGAACATGTTCCTCCATATATTCCAGCAGTACCTGACAAATCACAACTGAAAACAGCGACTTGGACAAAACCAGATCCAATATCACATTTCCTTTCAGCCAAGGTTTGAATGGGTTCATGGTTAGGCTATTCAGCACTTCCTTTGACTTTGACCCATCTCTCAAGTGATATAGCATTCAAGTCTCTTCATTTTCAAGCATTACTGACGCCACTAGGTGAATCCTAGGCTCATCTGTAGTTACTGCAATGAACAGGATGTACATGTACAGTAGAACACATGTACACGTATAGGATACCTAGGATCCAAATGGAGACATAAAAAAATGTATGAGTGTACAATGTACATGTAGTATATCGATACATACATGTCCAAGTATCTATATCTGTGACATTCAAGTACAGGTATACTAGTACCAGACTATCATGTACATGTACATGAACATACATTGTACATTTAAGCTCATTTTCTGGCACCATAAAAAAATACTTTGAGTCAGCTCATGAGTCAGCTCATGCTCATGTGTCAGCTCATGAGTCAGCTCATGAGTCAGGTGTGAGTAGCAGGAGATGAACAATGAAGACTGCCTTTGACACAGTTCATTTGATGGTTTGGTCTGTTTGTTACTTGACTTCAGACTGTTTTGTGTTGCAGTGTGACTTTATGATCGACTCGTGGTGACTTACCTCCAGGGCTTGAATTGAACGACGGCCACGACGGCCAGTGCAGTCATTGCCTTATTACTGGCCGAGGGTGCCCCCCAAAACGTCCACGTCTTCATGGCCAGTTTTGCCTTGCCCCATATTTACCTTGGCTGTCGTGCCCTTTTTTTGCAAAAACATCCATAAGCCTATAACAGCAACTACATATCCTTGATATCAGTTGTTTTTACACACATTGACATTGTATTTCGACGTCGTGCCAGCCCGATCGGTTGTCTTAAAATCTCACTGAATCAATCACACACAATGTATGTAATTGTACACACAAACTGAACCTGGCTTTACGATTCCCGATGCACTGTACGTATGTATGCACGATGTACGTGTACATACCGGTACATGTGCTGATACTTCAAGTAGCAACACCCCCGCTGCAAATATAAATGTCTGTATTCGTACACACACATACCAGAAGGAGTACGTAAAGCAGATCTTATGTGTAAGTCAACCAACTTTCTTTTTCTAAGTGCTTGCACGTGTGGTACACAATACGCATTCCTGTTCGTGTACGAGACAAACAAGGATAGTCACAGCACACTTCGCTCATACCCCCCGCCCTTTTTGCAGGGTGGGGGATACGAGCAAAGCAACACGCGTGCACGTGGTGTTCTGATTGTCATAAGATATAATGTTGATCGTGTATTTACCGGTTGGTGCCCTATAATAAGAGAACAAAATCCAATTTTAATCTATTTGGCGACTTTAAGAACATGCACACATGTGTACATGTAGGTCATAGATAGAGGGCAGGGTTAGGGAACTGTTGGGGCAAAATGATGATGACAACAACAAAACGCAACACAAAAATAAAGATGGTGATCGCACGGCACCAACCATAAAACCGTGTACAAAAAGCGTAATTTTTACCCCAAGAAACTGTTCACAATTACAAAAAAGTGTCATTTGAATTGAGAGATGTCTGTTTTAGGTTGGAAAGGTAATTTTCCAATGATAAAACACCCTTGACTCTAATTTGAGTGATTTTTTCCAACTTTCACTCGGGAGGTAACACACTGAGTAGGCCTATACAGTGTTTATACGTCGGTGAAGGGCAAAACCTAATTTGATGAATATATATGTCTTCCAGTGTAATGCATGCCTGCCAATTGAGAAACCACATCCAAATTCTTTGTTTTTCAAGGGTAGATATTGGTACAATTATTGTACACAGACGCACAATCAAGTAGTAACAGCTGGATACTGTATGATTAGCACTCAGAAGAGTGCTAGCAATATACTGGAAGTTACAGGATAAAAGCAACATATTTCTCCCTCATTTTTGTATTTGATCAGGTACACAATAAACTCTACTGAAGTGCAGACAACCCTTACATGTGCACTTTCAATGGACACAGGTGCAGGAAAGAGTCCCTTCCTGCTTCCTCCTAAATAATCATTGCTTTTGCCACCACATACACACATGTACATGTACATGTTGGTCCTACAGAAAAATAATTATACAAAATAATCATCCGCCTGTTTGCCAATCAGTGAGATTAGCTGTTTTCTAAATATAGTGATATTATAATGCTTTGCTATAAACGGACTAACACAATTTACATACACATTGTACTGTACAAGAACATGTACCGGTACATTGCACAAGTTCATGCCTTTGTTTAATAATTTGGATTACGGATCCATCGCCTAAAAATATATAAAATAACAATTAATTTACAAGCTTTTGATTCACGATTAAATATGCAATGCCACCTTCAAACCAAAGACAGAGAGAGCAATACTTGCTCATACGCAACGCTACATGCTCAATCATGTTCTCGTGCGGTACAGTAATGGTATTCTGGTTCCCACCACCAAAGATATCACTGGCAGAAAGATAGCAGAGGGGATGGAAACCAGCTGCACTGGGCCACAATGCTGATGGCCAATTCCCCAATGTCTGCAATGTCATATGCGATAGATGCATACGGCTGTTAGAACTTTGGCAAAGGAAACATTGTTTGAAAGGATAATACGTACATGTAAAAATGAAGATTTTGCTATCACTGTGTATGCATTTTTCAATGTTTTTGTATTATGTTCTTATATTTGAAATGCCATTTGATGGCCTGGCCCATCCCACTATGGTGCCTGCAGTACAGGTCATGTTGGCCATGTTGGCCATGTTGGCTGTGCAAAATTTGCCTGCAATATAAATTAATATCTTAATCAAAGCAGTTTTGAAATTCTATGGGGCATAGTTTGAAAAGTTTTGTCCAGTTAAATAAATATTTCAGTTGGGTACTTCAGTGACCAAAAAATCTGTGCCCCTACACGTTGGATGTTTTCTCCCGCTACCTGCCCGATCTTGGGACCTGAACAATTGGTAATCCAAGTAATTATGGGCTCTGTGCATTAGTACATACATGTACATGATGTACATGTACAAATGCATCCTGAGGATCTTGTGCAGCATGCGTGTCCAGGTTGGAACATGTTTCTGCTAAGATGTGTTGGAATATTGACTTAAATGGAGGTGTGTGGAGTGCAGAAATGTCAAATCATGCTTGTAACACTGCAGTGACAGACTCAACATTCACACACAAGTTGTTCCATTATGTCGCTGGGTGCCAAACCCTCCCAGGTGTGCTGAAAGATCCTGTCATCTACAGCATGTACAGCATTAGTTATCTGTATTCAGTATCGATCCCGGGAATATACATTTACCCTGCTTAGCAGTATCTGACAGGTGTCAAGTGCATGTTACCATCTATTGATGGCCATAGATTGTCAAACACCTGTAAGTGACAGTTAATTCCTATGGCAAATGGAATGACTTACCTCCTTAGAGAGTCTGGTAAAAAGATCACCACCTCGGAGGAAGTCCAGGATGAGATACAGCTTGCCTTCAGTCTGGAATGCTGCATATAGGAGTAAGAATATGATAACATCAAATATAAGGAGCTCATGGTAAGTGACAGGGATAACAGATGTGATATAAATTTACAATGTTGTATTTGAATACATTTTGATAAGTACCAGACCTGTAATTGAATACACGCATTCCAACTGTGACAACATAAAACTGTCAAGCAAACACTGTTGCAAACTAACATAAAGGTTTCTACAAGTTATTTCACAAATCTTGATCTTTCATTTCAGTGTGTGTAATTCCATAGCTACTATACTTTGTTTTTGTAAGGCCGAATAAAACAACAAACCATGTTTCTCGTCCGGGTTTTGAAAAAAAGGAGGACGAGGGGCTTTTTATTTTGTATTTTTTTCAAGATGGCCGCCAATTTAAAATTTCCTGCAACCGTTGGTGTTCCCACTGTTCAAAGACACTTTTAAAATGAAAGACAAGTTGGACAAGAGAACTGAACATATTTACAGTGTCATTTAGAGTTGTATTGGTCACATATTTTGCAAGTATTTATTTTCCGATGAATTTGTAGACATTTTCGGTGTTTTTTTAACTGCATTTTTCAAAAAAAAAAAAAAAATAAATAAATCCAGGGGCCTCCAAAAAGGAAGTGGGCGGGGACGAGAAACTTTTTATTTTTCTACTTTGCCTAATGAATACCCTTACCATAGTGCAGCTTGACGATGAATGGATGATTGACATCTACCAGAATATTTCGTTCCATCTTGGTTCGCATACGATCACGCACTGGCAAGAGAAAACACACCATCAACCAGTCATGCACACTTTTTCAGGAAACAAGGTATTTTATAAGATCCCAAGTTCAACTAAGACCAAGCAATGGACCCTCATCTCTTGAGTGTCATAGAATACTTTGTGAAAGGGGAAAAGTGGGATTAGACTTACGTTGTACTGTTCATACTTGATTTAATGGACTTGATTTAATAAAATTTAACTAAAATGATAGTAACATGAACATGGAAATAGGTAAGATCTTATCAGTGTCTGCACTTGGATGTTTGAATGGAGAACATGTTACTCAGACCAAGGATAAAGCAACCAAGCTGGTGAAAATACACATCTGCTATCACGTCTCATATCCACATCTGTAGTAATGTATATTAAAACCTTATGGCATGTTGTTTACCAAATGCAGAATGGTGTGACTGTCAATGCAATCTGCCATGACTTCCATAAAAATAATATACTGTCTATGAAAGGAAAACGTACATGATTAAACAATAGACAGGCCAGCCTGCACTTGGTAGCTGCACTGGTCGCACTTAAATTGACCTGCACCCGATTTCATCAAACTCTTCGTAACTTACGATGCATCGCAGCGCTGCAAAGCGTCGTATCCCTACGACGCGTCGCAGCTGCGACGCGTCCTGCGATCCATTTCACGAAACACGTCTCAAGTGCGACGCATGGTATGTGTATTTATAGCACAACTCGGTGACTGTTTTATGTATTTAGTCAGCGTACAGTAAATAGTCGTCTGATATTCAACAAAGAGTCGTCGGATCTCAGCTCGAAATTTGTTAAAACAAAATGGCGGTCGTGCGATGCAATTTTGAAGGAAAACAAGCTCTCAGTGGACTGTGTAGCTACTTTGAAATTTCAACTTTAATATTCCGGTCTAATTCATAATTATTCAATGAATTTTCCATTTACAACTTTACACACATTGCCTCGGTATTATAATCTCGTTAATGTAATTTTTATGGCGTAAAACTGGCTTAGAAATGACTCTTCTTATTTTGCGATGACCACTAGACACGTCTTAATTTGCGACGTGTTTTAAGCTGTTGTCAAGGAACTTACGACGCGTTCAACACATTGCAACTTTCGTGAAATGGAAGATACGACGCGTCGCGAGTTGTGATGTGTTACACGTCGTAACTTGAGTTGCGACGCGTTGCAGCGTTTCGTGAAATCGGGTGCAGGTCCATTTGACTAGGCAGAGAATGACACGTAAAAGTAACCAAGAAGTTGCCAGGTTGGTTGCACTAGACTTTGGATTTGTTGTATAACTGCAACAATTCTTGCATAGTCAGTTGAGAAACATGGAAGTATTACCAATCCTACTTCATTATCATTATATTGCTGCATATTCTGGACTTTGGTTGTGATTCAAAGTTCCTATCTGCTTTGAACTGGGGTAACGCTGATCCTTTGATTTACCTTTCAATGTTGCTTTTTTCAGAACTTTCATGGCATACAAAGTACCACTGTCCTCACCAAACACCTTTCGTACAAGAAACACCTGTTGGAGAGATAAAAATACATGTAAATGTATATATTGAAACAATAGGTTCCACAAGACAAACAACGTCAATGACCAATGGCTGAATAAGAAATACACGTTTTCAGTTGATTGGCCACTTGATACACGTACCTGTTCTTGCACCACAATTTACCTATCGCCGTTTTAGACCACGCCCCTTAGACAACCCTACAGAATTGTGTACGTTAATTTTTGTTTGTCTCAGATTTTGCACATTCCACGTCCAATTGCATTATGTAATTGGATAATGACCCAATTCTACCGCGATAGGTTAATACCATGCATACTTGGGGTCAAGTTGTTGAAATGTCTAATATGTACCTGTCAAGTCTAAATGACAGATCTGAAGTTTGATTTGTGTACGTGTAGATGTATCCACAATGTACATGAGGTGATTTCCAAGAATCTAAAATGCAGCGGCAGAACCAATGATTCACACGATGTCTATGAACTACACTGCCATTCACATATAAACATCTACAATTTATCGTTTAATACCTATTAGAAGTACAGAATTTGTCCATATAATTTGTAGTATACAAATAATGTATAAAATGTATGTACCGTAGGACTGGATACAGCGTTATTGAATGAGGCGAGGCAGTTATGTAAAGTCTGTAAGTCTGTAATTATTGTTATTTAACAAAATCATGTTTAGTTCCTTCAAGTTGTGAAAATAATTATTCAAAATGAAAATGGACAATGTATAACATACCACAAACCAATTGATGATAATCTACATGTACAATGTATGGTAAAGTTTCGAACATTTTGTTATTCACTGTGCGTACATTTTATTAACATTCGTTCAATTCCAACTTTAGCAATTTTGGGATACTTGCCAAGAATTGTGTTCAGTCATGTACATGTACATACCGGTATATCCATCCAAAAATATACAGATTCTGCAGACAATGATATGAGGATATAATTTCATAGCTGAAACACTGCTTTGACACACGTGTACTCCCACGCACACACACACCGGTACCTATATTGTGTACATACATGTATGCACATTGTACACAACAAACCTTAGCATTTTAATCTTAGCTTTGAACCAACTAACTTGATAAGTTCAATTATGGCAGGCAAATTAATCAATTAGAATACAGGTCTATTTTGGATAATGTACGGTATAATGTAGAGCAGTCACCATACTACAAATGTACATTACCTATATGTCCGTATAACATTCCAGTTCTCATGTTCATTACTTAAGGCGAAAATAAAGAATAGTTCTGCTTCCGGTTACCCGACCGACCCTATTTTTAGGTTGCGACCCTACAAATTTTATCGGCAATTCCAAAAAAAAAAAAAAAAAAAAAAAAAATGAAAAAATACAAATAAAATCTGTCTTTTCTGTCTTCACAAAATACCTCTCAAAAACCCTTATGCATCCAAAAATGCTTGTATTTATTTGTTTTCTTACTTACATTCGCTTTTTTTCAAAAGAAACCTCTGTTATTACAAATTCGCTTCCCGATATAACTACTTCGCAATTCGATGTCACGCACGGTGACTATAATCACGTGGCGACGACTGGTTCCCGCCGCGCCGCGCAGGGGCCAATTTAGAAGACATAATGAAAATGCGGTAACCAGTCCATAGCTAGCTATGTGACCGATAGCGTGCTATCAGTACAGTGCAGGCGCGCCACTGTCAACTGGTCGGATTCGACATCGTAAAAATGCCAAGAAAACACCGATGGAGAAAGAACATTTTTGCAAGTTAATTTACAGAATTGATCTAGCTTGTCTGTGTATATATTTTCTGTGTTCAAGAGTTCATTTTGAGATCGCACTACTCGTATTTGGAGTGATACATGCCGCGTGTTTCCTGAAATTGTTGACCGCAAAAACAGGTCTGTCGGCCCATGGTGGGCCGCTCGCCACACACGCACGCATCACACACCTCGGAGTTTTGGCCAGCTCCCCGCGTCTTGACTAGCATTGTGCATATGGTGTGAACGGCCTGAATTTTCCATTATTTTTGAAATTATCGAACGTAAATATATTGACAATAATTAAAGGTAGGTTTTACTCACTTTTTGTTGCCATTTCGTGTATAGCTTTCGTAGTGCAATAGAAATAGTTCAGGCTAAAACTTCACATATAATTGAATACCTCATTCAATCTGCATAAAAAAAAATTGGCCCAAAAAAAAAAATTCCGACCGACCAACCCTATTTTTGAAAGGCATGTAATCGGAAGCAGAACTATTTTTTTTTTGGCCTAATCATCCTTGTAATAAATGTATGTTTTACATGTATGGGCAAAAAGGATTTATTAATTTTCATAAGTTCTTAAGTGGTATAACTGTTAATAAACATGTTCATGTTGGACGGGTTAGGGTACAATGTACGTAGTGGTACATGTTCATGTTCCTGCAATTGCACTGAATTCAACATGCACTGAATTCAACATGTAAAACAAACCTGGCGCCCCGCCATATTTTCTGCGGCGCCCGCCAATGTAGAAGTCACCACCAAGCTTTAAAATCCAGCCGCCAGGTTTAATTTGTTTGACTCTACAGTGTTCATTTACAACTAAAAGAATTTAGAAACAAGAATGACCACTTCTTTTTCGAATAAAATTGAATGACTTCCCGCTGAACCCTAGCCTCGGCCAAGTTCGCGATGCGCGCGGATCATAACTCACTTTATTTCTATGATCGATGCAGTTAAGTCTGGTTCTGACTATTCCGTTCTCTTCTATCATCATATTATTCGGGGGATCGTCTGGTAACCACATGCACCATTTTTCCATGCACATAATGCTACATGACCTACGTACTGTACGTATACGTAAACACGTGTACTGCTGCTGGACTGCAGGCCTAGCCTGAGCATGCGACGTGCGTATACGTTTGCGGAATTTGCAGCAGGCATTGGCGTGCATCATCTTTAATAGTTTTAAACATAGACTTCGAGGCCAAGGCTAACTTTTATTGCATGTTGTATTCCATGAACTTCAGTTGTAGATTATGAGGCCTATATTTTCAAAAGAAACTTCCGTTATTTTTACAAATTCGCTTTGTGATATAACTACTTCGCAATTCGATGTCACGGTGACTATAATCATGTGCGTAAACCCAGCCCAATGCGGCGATGACTGGTTCCTGCCGCGCCAATTTAGAAGACATGATGAAAATGCGGTAACTAGTCTGTGAACGGCTACGCGATCGATAGCGCTAGCATGGCTCTGCATTGCAAGTATGTGCACTGTCAACTGGTTGGATCCGACATTGTAAAAATGCCATGAAAACACATGGTTAATTGCAAGTTAATTCACAGAATTGATCTAGGTTGTCTGTGTATGTATTTTCCGTGTTCAAGAGTTCATTTTGAGATCGCACTACTCGTAATTGGAGTGAAACAATGCAGCGTGTTTCGCAAAATTTTCGACCGTTAAACAGGGTCTGTTGGCCGCGAGCCACACATGCACAGTGCATCACACACTTCGGAGTTTTGGCCAGCTTCCCGTCTTGACTAGCGTTGTGCATATGATACGAACGACCTGAATTTTCCATTATTTTTTAAAGAATTATCGAACGTAAATATATTGACAATAATTAAGGTAGGTTTTATTCACTTTTTGTGGCCATTTTGTGTATAGCTTTTGTAGTGCAATGGAAATAGTTCAGGCTAAAACTATTATGTCCAGTAATAACTATCACCCCCATACCGTGGTTGTTAACTTTGAGAAAATAATAAACTTTATAAGAGCAATAGTAAACCAATGAAATGGAATTCTCCTTAAAATCTTTAAAACTTCTGCTAAAAAAATCAGGGTAATTGGCCTGGAATCGCCTCAGATTGCACCACAGAGCATCTAGAATCCAAAATTTTCCCGGGGCCCTTAAGCGGGCCCCGGACCCCACGCCGTAAGGGCTTCGCGCTCCGCGCTCGCAGGAGTCCCCGCACCCCAGCACCAACCTTTCATTTTCAAAGTTGGAGAACACTGAAATTGTATACCGGCACATGTAGTTTGTGTGATGTCATCAATGAAACAGCCCTGGTTTGTCAAGTTAAATATATGGAAATACAAAGAAAAGTTAAATTTTATCGCTGAAGTCATGTGCATGCCCATGTACATGTACATACTGTATGATGAACTGTATCGTATGTTTAATTGTGACTGCAAGTTAATCATGGGTTACACTTCATCTCTGGTAAGCACCAGAGTATGCCTACATGTACAATCATTTTTGACAATAAACAGTGTACCTGTTTTGCCTTTAAATCACATACATGTGTACATGTAGATGGGTTTACATGTTTATGCCCGAAGAATTAGAAATCCCACAATGATTGTACATGTACCGGTATGTAGAACACTACATGTATGTGTACTACATTGTACATGCATCTTTGCACTTCAAGTTATTTCCATTTATTTACATTTTGTTATTTCCATTTATTTACATTTTGTACGTGTACATGTACACTGTACATGTAAATCACCATGTCCAAATGGACCTACATGTAGTTATCTCTGCCATGGATGCATTGCTGTTCATTCATACCAGATGGCATCCCAACTCGATTTAATATTTCATGCATTAAACATCTTCAATGGCCAGGCAAAAATGGCCAAGCAGCTTGTTTACCTCAGCTACATATCCACATACATAGTACATGTAGACATTTGTTATACCATGGTAATAGATTGTGATTTTTATTGGTCCATCATTAATCGCGTGTCATGCCACAAACACGCATGTACAGCGATGTACGCCGTGCGCGCGCGGTACATGAGTAAATTGTGATGTACCTGTATCCCACAGGGTACATTACCTTTTTCTTTCCCCCTGTTAAAAGTGTTGTTTCCACCGCGTTGTATTATATTTCTGTGACCTGGCACTACGTAAATCAATGTTTGTTTTTACGAGATGTACCATGGGGGACAGTGCAGCAATATTTCTGCTATGACCACTATTGTTGTTTACATCCTTCATCACTGTTTGTCTGCTAATTC